TGTTTTCCCTATTCCTCACTACAATTCTAAGGGTAGGTACTATGATCCCCTCTACAGATGAGGAAACTTAGAGAGATTAAGTGACTTGCTCGAAGTCATAAAGTTAATAAGCAGTGGAGCCAGCTTAAAATCCAGACAGAACTTGCCATGGCCTGTGAACAGAAATAACATTCACTACTTTCTGTTGCCAGTTATTGTCTTAAACTAGATATAATCACTTTACTCTTTTGCTTAAAGCTTGTGCAGCACCTGCTGCCATCTCCATTATTCAAATTCCATTTTCTACACACTCATTCACCTATTCTTTAAAAATCAACAAATTATAGCAAGCTCTAATGTTTACTTCAAACCTGTTTACATATGGTCTCTCGAAACCCCTATGACACAGGCAGGAGAGCAAAGAGTCCCATGCAGTTTCAATGGTTTGTCAAGAGACAAGACAACCAATGCTTATTATAGCTGGGACCCCAACCCAGGCCCTCACTGCCTCACTGGACATGTGCCCTGAAATTCCTTTCTGGTTCGTTCAGTGCTCTGAGCTTACTCTCAGATTTCAAGAATACCAAGTTTTTCCTTCTGTCTCTGATTTAGCCATGCTCTATCTTTTCCAGGTGTGCCTTTGTCCTGCCTGGTGAACCYGGGCAAATCCTTCATGACTTAGCTCCAATGGCCCATCTTTCTTTGGGCTTTTAYAATAACTATTAACATCCCCATCACAGCACTGGTCAGTAATTTTAGATTAGATGATTTGCTCGCCTGGCTTTCTTTCCCAGGAGACTGTTACCTTCCCTAGAACAAAGATTATAAGTTGTGAGCATAGCCTGAGTAAAAAACTGGGATGGATTAGTGATGGTGGATGGATATGAACAAGAAATGAAGGAAGATATGATTAACAGTGAAGCTTTGTTTCTAATGCTTCCAAAATTCATTCAACAATGAACCATGTGCACATATACACAATATATAGACAATATATAATATCTACACATAGCTTGTTTGAATATGTATACATATATAGTGTGCATATATGAATGTACATGTATACATATATACTGCCTGTATATATGTACAATGTGCATACATATAGCATATAAATACGTATATAACAGTTTGCAGACATCCATACAGTTTTTCTGCACAGTGTGTGCATATATCGTATATATAATATTATACATATGTCATGTATATATGCACATATGCATGGTTTGTGTACATATTATGTGTGCACACATTTTGCATATATACTCTAATGCAATGCAATGGGAGATTACATAGTACATTAAGAGATGGTTGGAAGAACACACATGACACACAATACAGATTTTTTTTAAATAAAAAGACTAGTACTTTGAGGCTTGTCTTCCTGTTATGTTGAATGAGGAGCCATCAAAGGGAGAGGAAACATGGCAGGGAATATAGCTCAGTGGTAGAGCACTTACCTAGCATGCATGATTCCTAGGTTCAATCCATAGAACCACCATAAAAAAAGAAGAAGAAAAAGAAGCAGCTTCTGGAGAATTAGGAAGGAAAAGATTTAGAGAAACCTCACTGAAACCAAGCAAGAACCACRTTGTAAGATGAGGCTGGTTATTAAGTGAAATAAGCTGAACTTTGAAAGTAAAGGGTCRTATGTTTTCTCTCATATGTGGAAGCTAGAGAGGAAAAAGGGGGGAAAAGGTGGGGGAGGATCTCATGAAAATAGAAGGGAGATCAGTGGGGACTGGGGCTGTGGCTCRACGGTAGCACGCTTGCCTGGCATGCATGAGGCACTGGGATAGATTCTCAGCACCACAAATAAATACATACAATAAAAGTCTATCAACAACTAAAATAATATTTTAAAAAGAAGAGAGATCATATTGTTATATTGTGTGCATATATGAATATATAACAACAAATCCCACTATCATGTATAATTACAATGCACCAATAAAAAATTATGGAAAAAATCAGGCTCGTTTACAAAAACAAACACACACACACACACACACAAAAAAAAAAAACAGGAGATGGAAAACTAAAAGGGAAAAAAAAATCCCCGAATCTGATAATTAGGAATATAGATAGTGAACCCAGAGTAAGGGTTTCAGGAAGAGGTGGGGATGGGATGACTCAGAAGTGAGGAAATAGAATGAGACAAACATAGACTTCTGTCTCTTTCCAAAACCTTTGCCTTGAAAGGATAACTAGAGAAACGGCTTGRGGTGGAAGCAGGATCAAAACCTCAACTTCATTTGGCTCCCTATGAAATGGGAGAGCACAAGCGTGTTTGTGGGCAGAAAGTCTCATCTTGCGGCAGTTCTGTTACATGGTGTAGTTTCAATCACAGCAAACACTAYAGCCAAGACCTCCACCCACCCCTTGACATCGAATTGCTCAAAAACCCCTCACATCAACTCTGTGAGAGACATCCTATGATAATCCACATTTTACTGATGAAATTTTACTGAAACTGAGGCGCAGAAAGGTTAAATAAATGTCCAAAGTCACTCAGCTAGTAAGTTTCAGAACCCAGATTCCTCCCAAGTAATCTGGCTTCAATATTTGTGCTCTTGACCCAGGATCAATGAGGATTGCCGAAAATGGAGTCCTTGACCTTTTTCCTGCTTAGACTGACTTATATCTACCTTTCCCAGCTTCTCCTGCAACCCCCCAGGCCTGCACCAGCATCATAGTAGTGGGCCAGGGGAACACTGTGTTTTAGCAGTAGTGACCAAGAAGGAAGAGCAGAAAGAGGCCATTTGTTGGCATTGCAGGGTTTGCATCTCTCTGGAAGTTGTGAAAAGTCTTATACACATCAGAAGAGAGACATAGTAAACACTATGAGACCTAAGTTTAGGAGAATTGGCTCCAACTCCTAGGATTACTTAGAAAAGGAATGTGACATATGCAGGTATCAATATTTCATCCAATATTTCATTGATGAGGATGACATTGATGATGATGGTAGTGATGATATGGGGATGATATTAACTATCCTTCATCCCATCTGGTTATACTTCAAAGAGCAAGTGAAGGAATGGGTTAAAGTACAAGCCAATATGAACTATTTATAATTACTATTAGGCTCTCAGACTATCTGGAAAAAAAAATTGCTCATCCTCCAACTTCCCCAGTTCCACCTTACAAGGCATTGACCATTGARCACAATTTTGAGAAACAATTTTGAGAAAGTTTTTCTAAATCCTAATACTTTCCATGYGTCCAATTTGCCTCAAATCTAAAGTTTCCTTATATGGTAAGGCAGCATGGCACATTTTTAAAAGTTCACTGAGAGTGACTTGTGACCAACTGTCATTTTCCAAGATTTATGGAGCAGCTTTTGGGTGTTCACAATAACTAGTTGCACCACATATTCCACTCCCGCCTGTTTCTTTCTCCATTCACAATGTACTATCTCCAGTGTAACATTTACCCCTCACTTCTCACTTCCTCTTTCCGCAGATTTCACTTTTCTAAATCATGGCATCTTTTAATTCAAGCATGGTCCTGAGGAGGAGGTAGCTTTGGTCAAGAAAACAAGGGAACACACTTGAGGAAACATGAGAATGTCAACAGAGAGGCCAGGTATATTCCAGCTGCACTCTGCCATTCATTTAGAAGATTTCTCAGGAATCTCATTGGCAGATTGTGGAAATCTGGTCTTTAGATGGATTTTTTTTTAACCTTTATATACAATAGTTCAGTTCACATATAATGAGTCAAGAATTACATGAAAAGTTACCCTTCTTTATGGATTTCTGTTTAAATTATCTTTGTTTTTAACTTTACCTTTTATGAATTATAGTTCAAATTAACATTAAAATAATTAAGCAGCATCAAGATGGGTTGCTTGATTGGTGACAGGTATGTGACCAGAAACAGGGACATTTGTTAACACAAGTAATCTGCTAGAACATCTGGAACACCATCTCCTTTTTACAGATGAGAAACCAAAGATCTCAAGGATCTTTTTTTAAGACAGAGCTCTGGTTTTGCAGTCTGCCTTAATCTAATAAAAGGAAAATGCAAAAATTTCAGATTGCACAGGCAATGTTTTGATGATTATTATAGCAATGCACTAGCTAAGGATGGGTTCCTGAAAAGAAGGGCTTACTCAAAATCCCTTGTTGGATGGATCAGCTACTCTAATGAATGTAATACACTACCAATTTTGCAAAGAAAAGCACTCTTCTAATGCTGTAAGTCCTTCTACACACCCAACTTGAAATAAATCAATGATTGCCCAGYGTTAATTGCTCTGTAAAACTTTATAGAGTAATTGTATTGTTTGCCTGCTGTGCAGAAATTTCCTGGAAAATATTCAGAATGAGTGTTTTTCTTTCTGTGAAATATCTAGATCAAAACAGAGAGCCCCCTTCTCCTACTTCCTTCTTTCTTCTAACCCCCTTCCCCACAAAACAGCCCCCCACACCAGGTTCCTCTCTAATGCTCTGAAGCATTAGTCATCCCAGCTCTCCCTTCCCTGTTTAGTTATTTTTCATCAAAATGTCAGTGAAACAGAAGCCAGTACTTATTTGATTTACTTATTTCTTTCTCACTTTTTAAGCACAAATAACATTTCTTTCAATATAAATATACAATTCTATTAAAAATACAAAAAAGTATTATAATCTTAAGTCACTGTCCAGCAGGTACATGTTTATGAATAGAGTCATAAKTTAGATACTCCATAAAGATGCAACTTTATCCCAATTCTAAGACACTTTTAAGCATAAGTCCTTGTTCCATAAACAAATCCTTTTAGAGATGCTTTAAATATGCCTGTGATAACTGTCTAAATTTATGTCAGCAATCAAGGTTATTGAAGTGAGCTAGAATTTGACACCAAGAATACAATTGTATTATATACATATATTATATAAATTACTTTGTCAGATTGCAAAAATACATCAGATTTTGTCTATAACAGTTTTCATCAGTTAATAAGTTAAGTCTTTTTTTTTTTAAAATAGCTCAGGTATATTCTGATTCGAGTGTGAAATGCAGAGCAGTCACGGTTAGGACGGGCACCCACCACAGCCACAATTCCACCAAGCTGGCAGAGGTGCAGGGCGAAAGGTACCCAGTAATTTGTCCCAGTGTGTGAAGTAAGGGGCAAAGTTGCAATTGAACTGAGAGTGATGCAGATCGTGATGCGCCACACCTCCATACCACCCGAAAGGCACTAGTCTGTGAGTGGACCACGGAAAGTCGTAGCCTGAGTGGTCCTCCACTGACAGCCAGATGTTGACCACATGGAAGATGAGGACGGTGAGCGGGTGGCACTTRAGGAGCTTGATGTTCACCAAGTCAAAGAAGCCCAAGGAAAACAACTCCCAGACGCTCATGTACTGCGTGGCCAGAGCGAAYGAGGACGAGTTCTGGTGGTGCACCTTGTGAAAGGTGCGGTACAGCCAGGGCACTCTGTGGTGCAGCACGTGCCACACAAAGAATTCAGCGTCGAAGAGCAACAGGCAGAACACGATGTGGCTCACTAGCTCAAGCAGCTGGGGGGCTTCGGGTGGCAGGAGCTTGGGGCTGTGGGCCCAGTGTAGCAGCGTTAAGGGGAACACGAACACCACGTGCTGGTAGAGAGTCTGTCGCAGGCAGGGCAACAATTGCCGGGCTGACGGCGAAAAATCGGGATGAATCTTGTAGCGRCGCAGAGATGGAACCCAGGGGTTCAGGACGTCCAGCACCACGAAGGGGAGGCAGAAGCCCACATAGGTGATGACTGAGAAGAGGACCGGGAAGAAGGGCGACTGGATGAGGACCTCCCAGGTCTTCAGGCGGTCCCAGAGGGGCTGCAGGAATAGCTGGCTGGAGCTGCAAAGCACCTGGAGTTCGGAGTTGTTGTAGCAGCTCATGATGAAGCTGTGCCTGGCAGCTGCAGCCGCGCGACTTTTCTTAAGACTGGCGGCCCCGCCCTCAGTGATGTCAGCAGCCTTTTCACTTCTTTTCCAGGCTGCACGGAACTTGAATAAAGAACCCGCAGAGATGCTTAGTTGCTACAAATACACCCAAGCACAGCTGCCTCTAATGGCTTTTATACATGCATGTAARTCAGAAACTTTTAATATGCATGAAGAATTGTGTTCTCATTCATTTTTTTTCAATTGGCATGCAACTTACACTCAACATAATGTACAAATCTAATCTACAGCGTTGAGTTTCCATGAATTTTTGGCCACTCAACTTGTATTTTTAATGCATATATAAAACTGCATATATGTTTCCATCAAGACGCAAGCATAACTTCATTTTAAAAGAAAAAGGAAAAAGGAAACTTAAGAGTCGTACCTTGCGCCGTCCGAGTCTTCTGTGTGCTCGCTCTATAACGGTCTACACAGCAGCGAAAGGCAAAAGAATTGCTATGTAGAGGGGACCTCGAATTCTTGGCTGTTCGCGGGTAACTGACGCTGGATATCATATAGGACACGTGGAGGGATGGGAAATTCCGTTGATTCCAGCGACTCCCGAAAGGAACTTTCCCTCCCGGCTCAACCCACCGTATGTATGCAGACTTGCCGGGAAGATTCTGAGCTCGCAAGTGCAGACACTCGTGGSGCCGCGTCCAGCGCATCCAAGACCAGGGACCGGGAGCAGGAAGCACAGCAGTCTAGAGCGAGGGCTGCGACTGCAAGCCTTCACTTGCGTTGGGAGGCGSGGGAGCAGGCGGTGGGGGGGTGCTTGGTTTAACACCCAGAGCCTGCACAGATTCGGGCTAAGATGCCATTGCATCTCAGTATGGGGCAGAAGTTATTGAAAAAGCGAACCACCTACTTTGATTTGCAAGGGAATTCTTTGCGAGATCCTGAAGCTTCCCGGGAAGGCTGCGGAAAGTACAGAGGATCCCTTACCTCCCCTGCTCTTCCAYTGGCTGGATCCTCTGCACCAACTTTTCCGCAGCCCCGCATCTCCCTTCTCCAAATCACTCGGCGCCCAGAAAGCAAACTACCGACTGGTCTCTATCCCGTGGGTTTCTCAGCCACCAACTGGAGTCTCAGGGCCAGGAACTGAGCAGGAGGTCGGTACTAGGAGAGTTCTGGAGAGACTCTGGGAACAGTATAGAAACCAACCTTCGCGTTTAATTTAGGTGACTTACTCCAGACACAAGGGACCCCTAGTGGATAGAACTTTTGGACAAAAACCACTCCCCATTCCAGTTTTTCCTTCTTTTATCAATGTGTTTGGGGCCGAAGCTTGCATTTTCTTATCCGCCCGAAAGGGAAATAATAATAGCTGTCATCTTTGCAGCCTATTGTGAGTGTTTAATGGAAAAATAATAATGTCTACCATGTAACGTTTGCCTACTAGATGCTTGACATTGGCTAAGTGTTTTACTAGAAATGAGTTCATTCAATCCTCACGAGCTGGGCTCCCCCTCTTCCAAGAAGTAGGCAATATTATTTTTGTGGGTTTATAGCAGCAAAACCACAGCGCTAACATACAGTAAACACACAAAATAAGACACATATTAAATTTGTACTCTACATTTTACCTAAAGAATAATTGAGATGTTTGAAATTAAAATCAAGTAAGATTACAGAAAGAGAAATAAATATATATAAAGCCATTTGTTATGAGCAAATAATAAGTGGTATGAACATATAGACCAACAAACGAGCCTTAGATCTATAATATAGACAATTTATATATACATATGACAAAGAATAGGCCTTTTAATATATTTTTGTACAGAGGACATATATATTTATAATAGATCAATTCATAATTCAAAACCTTTCAAGAAGCACATATCTCAGAAATTCTACTGATGGAATATGGYGGTCCTTAGATACCCATTCTCTAGAGCCCCTAGACAGTAGACTCTGACTCTTCAGTAACCTTTTTTTTTTTTTAAAGTTTGTTCTTTTGTTTTATTTTAAAGTCCAAAGTGCCCTTAAGACTATTATTATATCCTGCTTGCATTTTTTTGCCATTGATAGTCTCAGAAGCAGCTCTGAGTTTCTTGACAGCCAATACAAAAAGGAATGAGGACAGATTTTCTGATGCTGTTCTGAGGTCTAGATGGTAGCAGAAAACAAGTTGAAGGCAGGCCTCTGGCCTCCCTGCTGCYGGATTTCTTCCAATTAAATGCTGATAGACTCCTTCTCCATATACCCCTTCCCCATTCACTTCAAAGCCAATTTAGGAACTTTTCTCTTTTTTCATTCCATGGTCCTGYCCTTGATGCAGCAATTCAAAGGAAGAACCTTTTTTTCCTTCATTCCTGTGCCCTTCAGTGCCCCAAAGGGACTACCACCGCTCACTTTCTCAGAATTACATCCTCATCTAAAATTACCCTCAAATTTCCTTTTAGCACACCTTGTTCTTTTCTTGCAGTCCCATCTACCATGCTTGGATGCTTCAGATGCCCTTGCAGATTTTTTGGCATTGGCAGGTCTGCTTAATTTGAATTGAGCTTTTAAATTTGCTGTCAGGACATCTCCTTTGAGCCCCCAGCTCAAACCATCCCATTCCTTTCCTGCTTTGGTGGTTCTGTCCTCTGTCCCTATTAAAATACTCTACAAGTGCAGATTATATTAAGCTCTCCAAAACAAGACCTGGAAGCCAGGGCTTCAGACTGCTATGTCCCAACTCACCCACCTTACCTTGTGGCGCTTTGAAGCATAGCAGCTGTGCCTGCACATACAGCCCACCAGGACAGAAGTTTGTGTGTAGTATMCAGAAGCAATCATCTCAGGGAAATTGATCAGGTAAAATTGTAATAGCTGTCTACTCATGTTGTGAAGGATGCTGAAAAAAATAGGCATAATATGTCAGGTGATCAAAAGCAATTAGTTGTAATGGACCAGAATAAAACTGATACATTTATAGGGCTGACTAAAGCACTCTTGAATTTGGCAAGCTTGTAGCTTTAATCATTCTCTATTTGCACAAAAATTTAATAGCTTGCTACTGGAACAGGTCTTTTTAGAGCCCAGGATATATCTTCTAGGACTTTTCCCTCACAATGCCAATCTTATCTYTGTGTATGGGGCGGGGGATGCTGAATCAGGGCCTGATATATGTTAAGCAAGTACTCTGCCACTGAGCTTTAACCTCAGCTGCAAACACTGTATCTTCTATGYAATCAATGTTCAAAAGGTACCAAGTGCACATTTTTAAAGATATCCATTCAAAATTGAGGCTAAAAAAGTAGAATCATTCTTTTTCAGAGTGTTAATTGATGTAATTTGGGTCTGTTCACCTACAGGGCAGTTTTCCACACAAAAGGATGTTTTTTAAATTCAGATACCATAAGGACTTTGGCAACACTAYTTATTGTAATTCTCTAGTTGATCATTACTTTCTTTGTATTATTTTTATCTTGGCATGCACTCTCTGTTGGGGTTGGGAAACAGGAATCCTTTCTTCTCTAGTTACCATAGGTGTCAAACACTTTTCTGATAGTACAGCAATCAAACCTATGCATATTTAACACAATCTCAAAGATATTTTTTCCAACTCTCAAAAAAACTTTGTATAGTGTCCTCCCCCCTACACATACACACACACACACACACACACACACACACACACACAACAAATAAAGAACACAAAGTCAGAAAACCCTGTTATCAATCACATCATCTCTTTTTTTTTAATGACATTTATGATTTTTTTTTTCCTCCCCAAATGAAGCGAGACTGTTTTGGCAGCTATGTAACTAAAACAATATTCCTGAATATCAGAAATATGTAGTAATGTTAGACTTACATAGGTAGACTAGCCTCAAAGATCAAAGTCTAATCCTGAATTTTAAAGGCTAAAGATTAAGACTCAGTCTCAGAAAAGTCAAAACTTGATAGGGTTAATAGTAAATTACAGCCAAGTCAAGAGTGGAAGTGGAAGTTGGTGTCAGTTCTAAGCTAAGTATCTCTACAGGAGGAGTCTGGTGTTGGAAGGGGGCACCAAAGTTACTTTTATTTGTCAATTTACAAAGATTCAGAAAACATTAGTGAGCCATACAAAAAACAGTAAGTATGTTGATGAAGAACATAAGGAATGCCAACTCCCTTSAGATGCTGCTTGATGTTCTGATTAAGCCAGGTATCGATGCACAGAACTGATCAATCATGTGGCATATAAGTTGGGACTTGCACTGATATTCTTGGAACTCTCATCAACCTCTCAAAAACATTTAAAACATAAAAAATCATCCCTAATAAAAAGCATACCATAGTCTATARAGAAAACAGCACTCGTTCCATATATCCAAGGGGTTGTTACGGTGATCAAAGCCTATGCGAAGGCTTTAAAAAGTGAAGGCATACCATAAAATACAAACTTTTATTTTTAGTAATTCTAGAAGAACTTGGCAGAAAAAAGTTTTACTAGCTCAGTTTAGAATTGAACTTGACATCTGCACCTAGCACATTTCAATAAATATTCTTGAATGAACAACTGGCAATTTTTTCTTTTCATTGGAATAATTACAAACCCAGTGTTGCCTTTCAGGTGCCACAAGAGATCATAATGGCTCCACTTTTGGAAATCTCTCCAAGTGTAAAAATAAATAAATGAATAAATAAGTCAGTGGCAAAAGATTCATTTACCRTACAGTTTTAAAAGTTTGCATTTAACAGATTAATGCCTTTAATAGCCACAAACACGAAATAATCTTCATTACTTGAAAATAATACACTAAATTTTAGTGCTTAATAAGTGTTAGGCTAGGTTAAAGCCTCCTCCACTGCCATCCACCCACTACTCAAGTCTAACGTTCTGACCACTTATTCACTTAATAGGCACATTTTTATTTTCAGTTCACATTTGGAGGACAGTTATTCCTTGAGAATATTTTTCAGATGTTCTCCACTAGGCATAAAGTAGTCATAATCCTGARTAGAAATGACCACAGCTGTAGCTGGCTTTACCCATCATCAAATTACCGACCTCCTAAAGCTGCAAAGGTGTAAAGTGGAGCGGGGGTTGGGGGTTTGGAAAGATATGTGAGAAAAGCCAAGAGTGCCATCTTGTGGCCAATAAAAAAAWTTTTTTTTTCTATTCTCAATTCTGATTCCCTTGGAATCTGTTCATTTTCCCATGTGTACACGGTACCTTAGAAAGGGTTTCAGTTGGCAGAATATTAACCCGTCTTTTCCTTGGCCTAGAGGCGGGGCAGATGTTTGTGTTCTGCTCAACAGAAGGTGCATCAAAGCTAGTTGACAAAGAAAAGAACTGGAACCCCCACCAAACTATCACAGAACTCCTGGTGGTTGATGATACAAATCTGAGCTAATGACGAAACAAAACTATATGAATGTGGCCAGGATGAGAAGGCCACAAAGGGTTTATGTCACCACATCCAGGGTAAGAGGCAATTGACAAAAGCAAATGAGCATTGTAACCCATACGGAGCAAGAACAGCTGTGCCATCATCACCTTTAGACTGGTCCAGCTACTCTGCTTTGGAAAAATTCCAATGCAAAGTTTGGAAAGAAGATGAAAAAAAAAAAAAAAGACAGGTGAAGAGCAGGCTTTGGAATGCATCCCTGTTCATTCCTCAGTCTGTCGTTATGGGAGAACTTGATGGATCACAATTCTCAAGGGAATCTCTGGGAGCCCCACCCCCACCCCATGGTGGCAACCACTGCTAGAGAAACCAAGTCATCCATGAACTAAAGCCATTCTGGAAAGCTATCCCCACTAACTGGTGAAAACAGAAAACAACAACACCCAGTCACTGGCCCCTTCTTTTCAGCTCTACCCAGTAGGGAAACTCTATATCATTGGCCAAATCAGTTGGTTTGGCTAAAGAAGAAAGAAGGGCTGCTGGAGAGATTCRTGGCCAGCAAGGCAGGTGGCATCCTCCTGGGGATGCCCACTCTTGTGTGGCTGCCATAAAAAAACACAATAATTTTGTGTCAGTCCTGAGACCCTTTCAGGTGTCACTTGCGCATCTAACTCAACTTGGCTAAATGAAGAAGTCCTGTGTTTCCACACACTTGTCAGTACACATGCATCTATTGACTCTTATACTCTGRGCTCTTTGTTGGACTCTGAGTACAGAGATGAGTAAGAGATGTTCTGCCCCCAGGTTCACGGAGTAGTGGAGATTTCACTGGGCCTTGACTCTGTGTTTTGGGGGTCCTAGGGTGTGAGCTGTCTCTACCAGCCTCTGTTGCCTCATTTGTTCAAGGAGAGCATTGGGTAGACAGTCCTAGAATCCACAGTGCTACCTGCAGCCAGCCACTGCCTGCAGATGGAGTTGACACTGCCTACTCTCCACTCACAGCCTGTGATGGTTTAGATATGAGGTGTCCTCCAACAGCCCATGTGTGAGACAACGTAAGAATTGTTCAGAGGTGGAATAGTTGGATTCGAAGAGTTGTGACCTAATCAATGGATTCATCCATGGATCTGGATTAACTGGGTGGTAACCATAGGAAGGTGCGGAGTGGCTAGAAAAGGTAGGTCACTGGAACATGGCTTTAGGGTATATAATTTGTCCCTGCTGAGCAGAGCTCTTTCTGCTTTTTATTGGCCATGTCCTGAGCAGGTTTTGTCTGCCACGCCATTCTACCATAATGTTCTTCCTCACCTTCAGCCCAGAGTTTATGGAGTTGGAATGATCATGGACTGAACCTCTGAAACTGTGAGTCAAAATAATGTAATTTTTTATCAGATGTTTTAGCCACAGCAACACAAAAGCTGAGTAAAACACAGCCTCATTAACAGGGACCACACAGGACAACATCTGAGCCAATGTTTCCAGACCATCTTCTAGGCCTCCTTAGGCTGGAGATCCCTTTCTCCTCCCCATGGAGAGGAACAAACATTCATGGACTATATCAGTGACATTCATGAAGGGGACAGAGGATGGGGAGATGAGAAAGAAAAGCGTGAATCCTGGCCACAGAAAGGGGAAGAATAGAATGGCCATTAAATAAAGGGAAACACATGACACACAAAATCCTTCAGGCCCATGAGGCTCACTGAGTTTTATTGAAAAGTTCAAAGAGGACCCTGTAAATGTTACAAGCAGTATTAGTCTGCCTGTATGTATTAGCCAACACAGCAAGAATTGTTACTGTAGCTACTGTGACTATATCAGAACATCTGCAAGCACGTCCTGTCCATCCCACAGCATGATAAGGAAACAAAGCAAAGAAGACACATAGGGGCTTCCTGACACTGTGATGCAGAGCAGGCTTATTACAAATGATTATTACACAAACAAAACTCAACAAGCGAAGTGAATTCCTGAGCTAAACTTGAAACTGAAAATGTCCACATTAACTTTTCACTTGAGTGAAAATGAATGAGGATATTTCCTGCAGAGGCCACAGGACTTCAGCTTCACACAGACGGGATGTCCTCACTGAGCTGCAGCAGTTGGTTCAGAGTTGGTTAATGTCGGGAAAAAGTAGTGGTCATGCCTCTTCACAGGACTTTCCTTCCTTGACAAGTAGAATTATGGCCTGCCACATCATCAGGAGTTCATGAGCAAAAACATTTGAGTGTTCCAGTCTTCAAGCTATTCATAACACAGACTTTTAAAACAGTGCAATCTGTTTCTGAAGGTTCTGGCCAACTATTTGTGCTTGAGCTGAACAATCTAAACATTTGTCATTTATGTCGGATGAAACTTATTATGGAATATTTATTACTGGCACAGCGGGGATATCACTGGGTTTGACTAGGTACCTAATGCATTAAAAAAAATGAAAAAGTGTCATTTGGATTCCCCCAATACAAGCCCATTGGACTGGAGAGCACTTTAAGGCAAGAAGATGAAAACTGGATGCTTTCACACCTTCGTTTAAATCAATGACAGATTATTTAACATCAACCAATACAGTTTAAAATTTCCAAACATATGTGTTAATTTGTCCTGAATAAGAATAAAAACATAATAGATTTTAAATGTAAGGAGAAACAGAATGGTTTCTTTTCATGTCAGTGATATTTGTAAAAAAAAAAAAAAAAAAAAAAAAAGACAACACTAGGGTTGAGACACTTGCTTCAGGTTCAGCCTTAATTAAACAAAATATACTCAGGGTATTTCATTCCTAACTTGAGAGAATTGAGCATCTTCAGAGTCATAATTTTCTTGCATATAAAAATATAAAAGACCTGAGAAAGGAAAACCAGTATTTTAAGCAATGAAGCAAACACATTTTCTCGAGACTTGATGACACACATCTCAAGTCTGCATTTCACTGGTACTTCCTCATCAGATTGATAATTTCACTATACATCTGCCAAGGGGCATCCAGGCCCCAGATAAAGTCAAGATGTTCCCACTCCGGAATGCGCTTGTGGTACACCAAGTTGGTGATCTGAGTCAGTAAGATTTTGACATCTTTGTCGTCTGCAAGCCAGTCCTGACCCCCGCTCCACACTGCAGTGGGCACAAGCATGTCTTTCACATTGTACAAGGGAGGGTAACTCTACAATGAAAAAAAAAAAAAAAAGAAAAGAAAAATGAAACAAAACAGAACCATGGAGTGCTTTATTATTTTGTGATCATTTTCAAAATCACAATAAACCATCTCCACTAAACTCTATCTACTAAGTCTGATCTGAGTATAAGAAACCAGATTTTGAAAAATCACTTTCAGTATACTTTTCAGGTGGCCATTATCCGAACAACAACAACAACAACAACAAATTCAACCCACCATGAAAGAATACAAGATGTGGACCTTGAGCACAGTAATGACTTTAATTCTCACTGAGGAAGGTACTATTTTCCGCAGGGAGTAGATGTGAAGCAGGAGAACCAACTGGTTCTGAAAGAGCTTTGGAGTCATATCCTCCTCCTTTCTCCTTTTTGGTGTGGAATGAATCATAGAAATTCTCTAAGCCTCAGTTTCTTCATCTTTAAGTCAGATACCATCATGTCTATGTCACTAAGTTGTTATGAGAATCAAATATGAAAAACACAGGTAAAACATCGTACACTTTAGTACTGGTACATTTAGCATTAAAAAAATAGGAATTATATTGATCCAGGGAGGAGACATAGCAATCTAATATGGCCAAAGCCCTATAGCTAACAGGTAATGGACCTGGGAATCCTGCTCTCTGCTCTGTGTTCATGGCCACTGTGAATAACACATGGCAGTGATGGTTCTTGTTTAGAGCCAGCGAAAGGACAATGAGAAAAAGCCCAACTGTAAAGTCTGGGTCACTCTGGAGTGGTCTGAAGGAAGACAAATGTCATCTCTCCTGTGCATGACCTATGGCACCCAAGCCAACCAGAATCTAGTAACACAGGCTGGCTTCCCAGACGAGTCTTCAGGGCCCATTTCAATTAAAAAACTGAAAACTTTACCTGGTTGTAATGAAGATAATTCTTGGCACTGCTTCCCCAGTCAAAGGCTTGAAACTTTTGGAATTTAACAAACTAAAAGAGAATTTGGAAAAAAAATTATCTCTCGTAAAAGTTTGAGAAAACATTATAGGTTGCTAGAGTTAACCTTATGTCCTCAGAAACAATTTTATACCAAAATCCAGATTCACTCTTCACTTCCAAATTGTTCTTTGAAACAAAATGGAACCGTTTTGTTCTATTTACTACATGACTCAGTTTCCCACTCAATGTTGGAAAATAGCTGCTACATGACACGAGAAAGCAGTTGTACACGTATGCTGCGGATTACACGGGAAAGACAGCTGTTCCTGTTAGTTGAACTTTTATTTATATGAATGCTTTCCACTGAAATTTGTATCTTGGACTTTTTCAAAGAGTTCAGGATTTTACTTCACATAATACTATTTTAATCATGGGCTGCATATGATGGTACTCCTATAAGATTCTATCACCAAGTTACATTATAACCATGTTAGTTTGTGTAGGTACACTCTATGATGCTTGCACAATGATGAAATTGTGCAATGACACATTTCACAGAATGTATGTATACCTGTTAAAGAGATGCCTGCTTGTATACATACAAAGAGAATCCTATTTTCTGCATGTATATCTACCCTACTTGTCTATTATATTTTAAAATATAATATACTTAATATTTTAATAATATTATTGACTTAGGGCTTTTTCCTAATATCTGGTACCACTATAATCACAAAATGATAACATATGCCAGTGTGATTCTGAGTTGGGGAATTCTACAACTATGAAATAATATTTTATATGAAATTTAATGTATGCATATTTAGAAAAGCATGATAGATATTAATTAAAAAGTCATTTATTTTTTTTAAAGAGAGAGTGAGAGAGGAGAGAGAGAGAGAGAGAGAGAGAGAGAGAGAGAATTTTTTTAATATTTATTTTTTAGTTCTCGGCGGACACAACATCTTTTATTTATATGTGGTGCTGAGGATCCAACCCGGGCCGCACACATGCCAGGCGAGCACGCTACCGCTTCAGCCACATCCCCAGCCCAAAAAGTCATTTATTTATGAAGTTTGAATGAATACAAAATTCATACTTCCTACTGAATTAAAGCCAAAATTTCCAAGTTAAATAAATTGGAAACTACAAGTTTTGGCCACATGGTGGTGCCCAAAAAAAAAAAAAAAAAAAAAAAAAAATGCAGACATTCTTTGTCAGAAACACTTTTGATTTATGTGAAGCTTCAGTTCTTATCAATTGTAAAAAAAAAAAAAAATTCTATTGCTTGATGTAATAAAAGAGTGTGAGTTTGGATACTACAGGGGATTGCTACAGGAGAAATGGTTAGCATTTGAATTTTGCTATTTAAAATGACAGACACTAAATAACTGTGGCATATTTTATGGCTTTGTAGTACCTGGGAATGCATCTATCCCCTGTCTCTGATTCAGCAAAGCAAACTGTTCTGCCACGGTGCTCTAGACAGCAGTTTACCACCTCCTCACACATGTCTTTCAGCATTTGTACACAGCACCAAGTGTGAGTATAAAATACAGAGGGAAAACTTGCTCATAGCTCTGACTGACCTTCTAAACCTGACTTTTGTCCTCAGAATCACTAAGCACTTCAAGTTAACCACTTGAAAAGGCAACTTCAAAGGAGGGAAGTGTGAAGATTACTTACAGTAACAAACAACCTGGAAATAAAGTAAAGCTCAATTATAGATATATGTTACATCAAACTTCAAAAACAGTATGTAATGTCACAAGTATAAAAAAATATAAACAGAAAACAGCTTATAAACAAATTCCATAAATAATACTAAGAGGAAAAAGTCTTAAAATTGATTACACACTATGGTCGTACTTCTGTGATAATCCCATGTAGATAAAAATCAGAAGGAAATGTTCACAATATTTATAGTATTAAAACAGCTTTAAAATGACATGTAAAAATGAGTTTCAGGTCTTAATTGATAATGAAAATTTTAAATTGGCTAAACTTTTCTAAAGTATACCACATATCAGAAATCTTAAAGAAATGTGTACCTTCCCACCACCCAGTCTACTCCTATGAATGTGTCATCCTAAAAAAAAAAAAAATTCCTGATGAATAAAATAGATTCATATACAATACAAGAATATTCCTCCCAGTATGTTTCACTATTGCAAAAATACTACCATGGCAAAAAATAAAATTCACACAATAGAAAACTGTCCATTACAAATACTTTTAAAATCAGTTATGACCTGGAAAGGCATTTTTAATTATAGAAGGGACTAATTTTTCCCCAGTACCCATTCTTGTCTTCTTCCTTTCAGTAATGGAATCCCTAAAGATTTCTTGAAGCATATGGCAGCCAGGTTAGAAACCACATCTGCATCCCCCTGTGAACAGCCACACAGWGGCTGAGCCTCTCACTTCTCAGCAATCTCCTTCAGGCAGAGCCACCTGCCCTGAGCCTCCTCTCTCCCACCTCCCTGTGGGCTGGGACAGACATGGATGGCAGTGACTCATCTTCAACCCACAGAGAAGGTTTGTATCCTGAGGGTAGCAAAGCTGCAGACAGGACCTGCATGACCTCAGGGAGATCCGCACACCTCCCTCCCCCAGCCTGTCCCTTGTTCTTTGAATTGTATTGTGAGAAAGAAACAAACTATTCATTTCCGGCTATATATTAAGGTTTCTGATAAAGCAATTAAGCCTGTATCTAACAAATACAATGCTATTTTAACTAAATGAAAATTACTAAAAAGCACATTCAGTATGATTCTGCTTTTGTAATGGAAATGATTATTTTTTTTAAAAAAACTATGATTATATCAAAATATTAGGAGTGGCTACTGCTTGGTAATAGAAATACAATTTTTTTCTCACACTCATGTATGTTCTAAATTTCATAAAATATATATTGCTTATAGAATAAATAAAAAGTATACTAAATGTTTCTGGTGGTTTTAAAAAGCCAATCAAATGTATACTTTGGCTTTTCTTCTTTTTATGCAATGTTTCAAACAATAGAGAACATCAAAATGGTCTAAGGTATTTATTAAAATGCACATCTTAAGAAATTCAGATTCTCAACAGGTCTAGGATAGGCCCCAGAATCTGCATTTTTATTAGCATCCTGAATAAGTTGTTACCAATACTTTTAAGATAAGTTAGGGCTGGCCTTCTTCCAACAAGCAAATACCTGGGCTCTGGACTGATAGGAGAGGGGAAGATAATAACAAGAGGCTTGGCTTAGATGATCTCTGAAATTCATCAGGATTAAGAAGAAAACAGGAAGAACTGTAAACTAGATTTAAAAGCCTAGTTTTTACATTGTTAATAAGTGAATGCTAATTATTTAAACAAAAAGTAAACTTCTGAAAGTACAATCAATAAAATGACTTTAAAAGGCAACCCCTGATCTTACTTAAACCACAGAAACCTTCACACTCCACACTGGGACTATAGCCTCCAGCCTGCCATCACCCAGGCCCTGCCCACCCTCAGTGGAGCCTCACCCAGCAGGCACCAAAGCTGCCTCTGGCCAACAGCCTGGAGGACAGGGAACTAAGGAGACATCACTATGAAACAGCTGTACAAAGCAGCTCTGGTCCTGACAAGGGCAGAGTGAGCAGAAGGCAGAGGGCCAGGCTGCCTTCTGCAGTGAACCTGGAGTTTGGAAATGTTCTAGAGGCACGCTCCAGTGTAGTTTAAACTGAAAGCCACAACAAGGTCACAACCGGGCCTGCGTGCAGTGCGGTGGACCTCAGCCCACAGCCTTTGACCTGGACTGGCTGCTTAGTAAAAGGGGCTGGAACAATCCAACCACACTAACCGAAAAAGGCCTGGGACACAGAAGGTGAAGCCAGGCCACCATGTTGTATACACAGAGCTGTGTTGGGACGGCTGGGGTTTCCACGTTCCAAGGACCCCTAAAAGCCAGGGTCTGGTGGTCACTGACTTTGCTGAGCCATGTGGCATATCGCATGTGGGCTGCTGGCAGTCACTAAGCTGGGAAGTAGCTCAGACCTGCCTTCAGCTGGGCTCAGTCACCCTCCATGCATCTCAAGGAGCACACTAACTCCTCAGGTGACAAAAACTGGGACTTTTTGAGGTGTATCCATTAATAATGGATACGTAATAATGTTTGAAAATGTAAGGGAATTTTGGTGTCAGTATATGTGAAGGAAAAAAGTGGTTATAAACAGAAATGTGACTAAGGAGGAGAGCAGGGGCCTGAAAGAAGATCAGCTGTGAACTGGAGGGCTTTTGAAGATCTAGGGCATTGCTTAAGTGATATAGGTGTGCTGCCAGCAGGAACGACATGCATCCTGGGGGACCCTCTTCTAAGCCATGGCCAACTCTGACATGTAACAGTCAGCCTCCAGTCACTAGAAAGAGCCTCAGGCCAGGTCCTAGACCTTTAGAGATGAGGCGGGAGTGGAGGTGGGGTGTTCATGTTAATAAGTGTTTAAAAACATACTCCCAACAGACAGGGCTCCTGGGACAACTGAGGAAGGAGGCTAAAGCATTGGTAATGTCCCCAGTCAGTGACTCCCAAACCTGGTTGGGGAGAAGAATCTGCCAGGCAGAGTTTTAAAAAAATACTGATATTCAGAAATAAAAAGGGCTGGCCTACTGAGCCTCCAGAATAAAAAAGAAATGACCTACTGATAAACACAACATGGGCAAATCTCAAAATAATTAATAATAATAGTAATTAATAATCTCACCAATATGAATTAACTGGGTGGTAACTGTAGGCAGGTAGGTAGGATGTGGCTGGAGAAGGAGGTCACTGGCGAGTGTGCCTTTAGGGTATATATTTTGTCCCTGGTGGGTAGAGCTCTCTCTCTGCGTCCTGTTTGCCAGGTCCTGAGCTGCTTCCTTCTGCCACAGCCTCCCACCATGATATTCCGCCTCACCTTGTGCCCAGAGCTGCGGAGCCCGACCTCCGTGGACTGAACCTGTGAAATCATGAGCCAAAACAAACTTTTCCTCCTCTTATTCTCCTCTTGTTTCCTCCACTTTTAGTTCTGRTCAGGTCTTTGGGTCACAGCAATAAAAGGCAGACTAAAATAGCCTGAGGGAACTTTTGTGAGGCAACACTTGCGTTCACTATCTTGATTAAGGTGATGACTTCACAGGTGTGTACCTATGCTGAAATGTATCAAAGGGCACCCTTTAAATATGCTGTCACTTGTACCTCAATAAAGCTGTTAAAATAAAATGTAAGTGCAGATTCTCCAGTCCAAATGAATTAGAATCTCTGGGGATGGAACAGAAGAATCTTTCTGGTTTTTTTAAGCCTAAATTGTAGCCAGTTCTACAAACCCAAGTCTTGTTACTTCTTTAAGCCATATTTTATTAAGAGGTCTACGTCTAGCTAGGCCAGTGGTGCCTGTAGTTCCAACTGCTTGGGAGACTAAAGAGGGAAGATCAGTTGCAAACATGAGTTCAAGAAAAACCTGGCAACATACTGAGACCCTGTCTCAAATAAATATATAAATGAACAAATAAAAATAAAAGGTGTACTTTTTAAAACAATTCAGCAATTCCAATGCAAGCAGTGACTACCAGGTGCTTGGAAATTACTTAAGATGCTTGGAAATTATCATCATTTACAGCATCTGGGTTTAGAGCTTAAACAATAAATTGTTCCATATTTTTAAAAAAGTTATCTGGGGAAAAAATATGTCAAAAATATATCCAGAGGTGGAAATGAGTCCCTAACATATTGTCAGATAGAAAAAGAAGAGCAAATTGTAAAATACTAAGGAGAAAATCTATTTCTACTTTTACTATTTCTAACTTCTTCTTTTAGAAATGATTATGCAGCAAGAGGTATAGAGCAGAATGCAGAGACATTTCACATCTCTAAATGCATTTTTCTTATCTGAGTGGGGTTATGTAATAAGTCTATTTTCAAGATAGTTTTTATTTTTTGTTTAAATACAGTTTCTAAATTTTCTAGAACACATATGTATTACTTATGCAATAAAATGATCAAAACTTTATCTTTAAAGTTAATGGCCTCCACACACATCCATGATTGTCTTAACTCTGGTTTTTCCACGGAAGTCATATTGTGTAACTCTGGTTTTTCCACGGAAGTCATATTGTATCCTTAGGTCAATGTTGAAATTGCAGTGTCTATCTCCAAAGCTGCCCTACTATTATGTTTTATGAAGTAATGCAGAAATACAATAAATCTTAGACTCAATGAAAAACAAATGAAGAGAAGAAGGAGGAAGAAGGAAAGAAGAAAATACATAAATCTGAGATGCAAATAAACAACAGGGAAAGGAATGGGAGGAAAAAAGAAAAAAGTCAACTCCAAAAGCTGTTTGGGAAATCACTACATAACATGATCTGTCTCACAGAGGCTAACACAAGCAACACCAATAGAATAGCAAGGCCCTGCGACCATAGGCAAGGATACCAGATCAGATTTGTAAGCAGGTGGTTTTTGTCTTTGAGAAAGGTTTGCAGAGAATCCCCAGCCTTTCCAACACGGACTTCACATGACTCAACCTACTCTCCTGGAATGCTTACCTGGCTCCAGTGTAACACGTTCTGCACAGAAGTTCCAGCGGGATTGTGTGCTGTATACACATCCACTCTTGACTGCAAAATATAAAAGATGAATTAAAGAATAAAAATAGCATCAAGGCAACATTGATAATGAACATATTTTTCTCCTCAAAGCATTAAAAATTACAAAGCCATAATCTCAAATATATGGAAAAAATTTTGAGTGTAAATAAGTCCCATTTGATCAACCACATACACAGATTATTCACAAACAAAATACAACAATAGGGTAAGTGTGAAGCTGCGCAAGTGGAGATCATAGGTCGTTTTACTTTTTTCTTCATGCTTTCCTGAATTTCCAAGATTTTAAACAACAATCATTTTTCTTTAGTCAGAAAAACAAAAATCAAAATCACTTTTAAAAATTCCCTAGAGCTTTCATTTTAGAAATTTTAAAACTATTTTCAGAATGCAACATTAAAAACTATAAAACATATTTTAAAACACCAGTATATTGCTGGCCAAGAGTTTATATTTTATGAAACAAGTGAATAAATATATACATACACGAATATGTGAATGAATGTGTGCACTGTGTGCTTGGAAATGAACACTCTAAATTTTTTAAAAAATATTTATTTTTTAGTTGTACTTGAACACAATACCTTTATTTATTTACTTTTATGTGGTGCTGAGGATCGAACCCAGGCCTCGCACATGCTAGGTGAGCACTCTACCGCTGAGCTACAACCCCAGTCCCTGAACATTCCAAATTTAAGAATGCCTATTGTGGTTTTTTTTTTAAGACTTTTTTAAAGATGGACACAATATTGGGGCTGGGGATGTGGCTCAAGCGGTAACGCACTCTTCTGGCATGGCAGGGCGCTGGGTTCAATTCTCAGCACCACATAAAAATAAAATAAAGATGTTGTATCCATTGAATACTAAAAAATAAATAATAAAAATTCTCTCTCCTTCTCTCTCTCTCTCTTAAAAAAAAAAAAAAAAGATGGACACAATACCTTTATTTATTTTAATGTGGTGCTGAGGATCGAACCCAGTGCCTTTCGTGTGCAAGGCAAGTGCTCTACCATTGAGCTATAACCTCAGCCCCATGCCTATTATGTTTTTAAAGAGAAATGAATCATTAGAATAACTTATAAATACCATAACTTTAATAGTGACAAATCCTCTATTCAATAGTCTCCATATGACAGCTGGCCTGAGGACAGCAGCAATACTATTGGCACTTGTGGAATCTGATTCTAATGCCTCTTATACCAAAGATACTTCAGAGCTGCTGAGGTCATTCCTGCATCTTCCACATTACTTAATACAAATGAGCACATTCAGATACCATCACTGAAAATTTAACGCAAGTTTTATCATCGACATAACATACCATATTCAAATTCTTCTCATTAAATCCACACACAAGAAAAAAGATATTTCCACAAAGCTCCTTCAAAATGACATGGGTGCAAACGTGGGTACCCAGCCACTTCAAAACTTCATTCTGGGGAAGAAATTCTTTGTGTCCAAATATTTCCTACAAAATAAAAAGAAACCCAAGAATATCTTAGCATTTTATCTGGAATGCAAGCTTCCACAACCCAACTCAGAAAGTACAGACACATTGCCATCCTTTCATGTGGTCTCAGGAGCAAAATGGCAACCAGCTGACATTCAAACCAGGGTATTTATGCAAAAAGTTGCCTAGCCAAAATCAGATGTGTTACAGATGTGCACTTAAATTCTCAAAGCGAAACCCAGAGGCAGAAGTTAAATAAATTTACAACAGACTTTTACAAAGGTAAAAGGGCTTTGGCCAGTCATCTAAGGCTACCCCCAAATGGGTTTCATTGTCTCTGATGGATCCTTGGTGACCTCTGAGAAATAGTTGAGGCTGTAGTTGATCAGCAATGTCTGCTAGGTATGCGTTTATCTAATCTGATATGGGCCAAATCAAGTCCACAGCTTGTTGGGTTTTTTTAAGATATTTTAATTTTATATATATATATAAAATTTTAATCATTTTAAATGTTCAGTTCAATGGCATTAACTACATTCACATTGCTATACAACTATCATTACTGTCCATCTCCAGAATTTTTGAAAAAGTGTTTCCTAGCCTGAAACTTTCTTCCCATTAAACAGTTACTTCCCCTTACACCTTTCCCCAGCATTGCTTGTTTTTATAAGTAAAGTTTTATTGTCACACAAGCACAATGTTTCTTTATGTACTGTTTCTGGCTGCTTTCTCAATACAACAGCAGTGTAGGGTTTACAACAAACACCATATTGCCCACAAAGCCAAATATATTTACTATCTGTCTCTTTGCAAAAGAAGTTTGCCAACCCCTGAGCTATAACCCCAGCCCCGTCTATTGTGTTTTCAAAGAGAAAGGAATCATTAGAATAACTTATAAATATTATWACTTAAATAGTGACAAATCCTCTATTCAATTGTCTCCAAAGGTCACCGAATCTGTACAAATTCCAACAGAGCAGTCATGACATTCTCAAGGCAGATCTTCATATACAGAAAACAGGAAACAGGAAAAAGATCTTCCTTATATTGAACTGGAATCTGTGTGTGCCAGTTGGAGAAGCTCATAGGAATGGGAAACTCATGTGCCTCCAGAGGCGATTTTAAGGGTTGAATTATGTTTCCCTAAAGAGCAGATGTTGAAGTAGTAATGGTCAGTATCTCAGAACGACCTCATTTGGAGAAAGGGTCTTGATAGAGGAGTCGAGTTAAAATGAGGTTGTTAAGGTAGGCCTGAATGCAATATGACTGGTGTTCCTTACAGAAAGGGGCAATCTGGACACAGCAGAGGTAGACATGCACGCAGAGAAAATGCCAAATGGAGACAGAAGCAGAAATTGGGATGTTGCTTCTTCAAGCCAAGGAATGCTAAGGATGGCCAGCAAATTAACACTAGAGGAGGCCCAGAACAGATTCGTCCTCATAGACCTAGCAACGGAGTACAGGCAATGCATGCCAATACAAGTGAGGGAAACTGTCAATGAAAAATGGCCTGAGAGTTGAAGAGTAGGGAATGTTGAGGACTGTGGAGCACTTGGGCTCAACCTCACTGCTACTTGTAGCCACTACTTTTTCTGACTTTTCACTAATCCATAGGGGAGTGTGGAGAACAGCTTCCTTTTTTCATCCCCTTTAAAAAAAAAAAAAAAAAAAAGAATCAGTTATCAAGATTGCTATGTGAATATCTCACTAATTTAAATTTATAACATTTTATGGGGCCATATTCAACTCTTCTTCTAGCAAATTTGGTCAAGGATTGACAGCCTATGATCTGTCCAGTTAGTCTTCTATAAGATAACCAATATGTGAAGACAGGTATCAGGTCTTTGTGAATATTCCCCTTCTCCAGACTAACGATGTAGGAATTAACTGGGGGGTAACCAGAAGTAAACACCACATATAGAGACTTCACAGTCATGAGGTGTGAAAAGCCGTAATTTTTAAAACTCCTGGCTTTAAGTCCACATAATGGTCAAATGCAACAATTGCACATATTTTTGAAAGTCTCTACTAATCACAAGTTAACAGGGTGATTCATCACTGACCTAAATCATACAAACCCAGCTTTCCTTTTAACTGACAAAGGACCAGGCACTTCAGAAGTATAATCTAAATACTTTTGTGGCAGACTTCACTGAAAATTATATGCCTACAGGAAGTATATGCAGATAAAGAAAAAAAATGTTCCTTTATACATTTGTAGACCTGCTTGTATCAATTTGATACCTTTATAATTGATCCTTTATATTTGAAAAAGGATTACTCTACTTTCATGAAAGCAACATGTATTTTTCAGAACAGCTAATTCATAGGTTTTATTCAAAGGTTTTTGTATATCTATTCATTCATTTTTTACTCTCTCAGTATAATATAAAGCAGTATTGTTTAAAACAGTGGTTATTAGACCATTTAGCTTGCATCAGGAATCATAGAAGGTGTTTATAAAAACACTGAACCCTGAGTCCTGAAAAATAAACAGTTCCCTTTAATCCAAAACATATTATGCAGCAGTTAAAAAGAAAGTGATTTAACATAATAGCTCTCCAAGGGGGGAACATATTACATGCAGAACAATCTATATAGTTGGATACCATTTACCTTAAAACAGCCATATATCTCTCTTGGCACATCTCTTATGTGTACAACTTTACATGTGAAGTCTATAGGACAAGGCCTTCAGAGAGGATTTTACTTAATTCTGAGGAAGGCACATGGAGAAGGTTTAGTAATTGAGGAGCTCTTTACATGTAACTTCTAAACTGCTTTTAATGAAAATTAAAGCTTCAACTACCCAAGGCACTAAATGCAAATTTGGTCAGAGGGGCAGCATCTCATCTGCATAATCATGATGCGGTGTTAGTATTGGGTTTTGAGATCAGAATATAGCTGTATTCCCTGTGAAAGTCTTAAATGGCCTGTGAGCTTGTTACAATAGATTTTAAGTACAGTCATGTGTCACTTAACAATACGGTCCTGAGAACTGTGCCATTGGACAGTTTTGTTTTTTTTGTTTTTTTTTTTCATTGACACAGTTTTTAATATGACACAAGTTCTTTCTTTTAAATTTGTTTTAATTAGTTACACATGACAGTACAATGATCTTGACATATCATAATTTGAATCAGATAGGATATAATTTCTCATTTTTCTGAGTGTACAGGTTGCAGAATCACATTGGTTATAAAGTCACGTATGTACCCACAGCAATAATAAAGTCTATTTTATTCTGCTATCCTTCCTATCCCCCTTCCCCTCCCCTCTCCTCCCATCACATCTCTCTACCCAATCTAATATGACACTTCTTTTTTTTTCCCCTCACATCGTCATACCTGAATTCTGTATAACAAAGAAGGTCTCCTTCCCTCTTCCATGCAATTCCCCTTCTCCCTCCCTTTCCCTCCCACCTCTCTTCCCTATCTAGAGGTAATTTTCTTCTCATGCTCTTCCTCTCTACCCCATTTTGAGTCACCTCCCTTATATCAGAAAAGACATTCAGCATTTGTTTTTTTGGGATTGGCTAACTTCACTTAGCATAATCTGCTCTAATGCCATGCATTTCCCTGCAAATGCCATGATCTTGTTATTTTTTTAGTGCTGAGTAATATTCCATTGTGTATAAATGCCACATTTTTTTTTTATTCATTCATCCATCTAGGTTGGCTCCACAGTTCAGCTATTGTGCTGCTATAAACATTGATGTGGCTGTGTCCCTGTAGTATGCCGTTTTCAGGTCTTTTGAGTATAGTCATCGGGCAGTTTTTGTCACTGCAAAAATGTCATCAAGTGTACCTACCTAGGGCTTGCTAATCTGCTAACCAGGAGCACAGGTGGCCGTAGCACAGTCAATGATATACCTCCCTGGGCTCCCCTTCCTGGGAGGTAGGGGTAAAGGGAGAGGGAAAAGCCCACTTCTCAAATAACAAGCACAGAGGAGGGTGGCACACAAGGCCCCTCCAGTGGCAGCATTCTTCAACTCTGAAGAGGAAATCTGTGGGGGAGGGGGCCCAATTACCTTAAAGAGAACATCTGGCAATTTTCCTAATAAGGTTAGAGGGCTCTCACAGAAATGAGTTAAGACCACAGGAGCCAATGCAAAAAACACTTTAATCCTTTTGGCCAGTTCAGGGTTCTGTGAAAATGCTATAAAACCTGTTGGAACAAAAGGAAGAGAGAACGTTTACCTTCTGGGACTTCCTTCTCAGGAAAGACAAGAAGGATTGACGTGGCCCCTGCAAGCAAGTCTGCCCTCAGGAGGCAAAAAGCCTTTGTGTGCGTCAGGGCTGAATTCCATTAAACTAGAAATACAGCATTTTTAAGTGCTTGTTTCAAATCTCAACCTGGACATGCATGGGAAGAAATCCAGGCTAGAAAAATGGACCATCTTCCCTCTCCCCTTAAACATCTGAACTAGAAGACTATTTGTACGGTTCCATCCACCACCTCCATTCCCCACCACCTCCCTCCATCCCCAATTCACAGCCACATTAAAGACACCGAGGGCGACTCGAAAGGAGCACAAACATCTAGAGTTCCTTAGTTTTAAGATATCTTTTAGCCCTGTCTCAGGTCACCTCTTGCCACTTGGCCCCCAAATGTCACTTTAGAAAATAGCACAGGGTACTGGGGCTGGGGATGTGGCTCAAGCGGTATCGCGCTCGCCTGGCATGCGTGCGGCCCAGGTTCGATCCTCAGCACCACATACCAACAAAGATGTTGTGTCCGCCGAAAACTAAAAAATAAATATTAAAAAATTCTCTCTCTCTCTCTAAAAAAAGAAAAAGAAAATAGCAGGGCACAGGATATAAGTAAACTAGTCATAAAAGTAGAAATAAAACAAAGAACGTGAAGCTCCATTTTTCTGAGAGTGAGATGACTGAACCATATACAGTGACATGTTAAAAGTATTCATACCTTCCAAATAGTAAATCTCCTCCCAGGAGTGTATCCTAAGGAGACCATGTGATGTGAACACAAAGGTATTAGTCACAGTGCACACTAAAAGGGACAACTAAATAAATTATGGGATAGGACCTTAGGCCCTTATTAGGGAAATTAACCTGTTAGAATTATGGGTAATCTGTATCTTCTTTCAACTTTGTAAAATTTTTAATTTTTCTTTATAATAAATCTTATTACTTTTAGAGTCAGCATAAATAAAAGATGCATATGGCTTTTAAAAGTGCTTATTTCTGAAGTATAACCTGTCACCCTTGTAGGCAGTTATATTCCTTATTTATTTATTTATTTATCTATCTATCTATTTACATATTTATGCAGTGCTGGGGGCTGAGCACAGGGCCTTGCACATGCTAGGGAACCTCTCTATCACTGAGCTAGCCCCCAGCCCTTCAATTAACTTTAAAAGTTAGCATATTTTCTTGATTACTTTTTGAAGTTTCTAACCTTAGGAAACTTTCTTTTTCCTACCCTTTCACATTCTATATTGCTTAACATAATAGGATGTGGCTTGCCTTAATTTTTTTTACTTTAACAGATTAATATACTATATTTGGTGATTTATATTAAAGTCTGAATTTCCATAGAATATTACCCAAATTCCTTGCCCTATTCATGATTTCTGCTTGGCATTAAAAAAAAAACAAACAAACAAACAAGTGCATTTAAACCAACATTACTTTTATATTTATTGTTATTATTATAAATATAACTTATATATTTATTATAAATATAATTGATATATTTATTATGATATAATAAATAAACATGACAAATATATTTTTAATATTTATTATAAATATAATTATATTTATTACTTTTATATTTATTATATTACTTTTATATTTCATGTTTAAAAACAAACAAATATGTAAATGCAAATGTCTTATAATAAAGACATATCCATTTCCAATCTTTATTATATACATACCTATTGTGGTGCCTTGAGAATGACCCACATAATACACACTTTCTTGGCCAGTTTTATTCAGAATGAAATTAATTGAAGCTGGTAGGTCATATTTTGCCATCTCATCGAAACTATAATCCAAAATAAAAATTCTTACATTGAAAAAGTACATAAAATAGATCAGCACCCAAGTAAACATGAAGTTTGAGGAAATATCACAAACTGAATACAGCTAGGTAAACAAGCACTGAGTTCAGGAAACTGGCCATCACCAGGACSACAGAGCCCCCTTGGACTCCCCTCCATTAGTGCCTCCAAAGATTACAATTATCCTAATATTTCACAACACTGCCGGGATTTGTTCACGGCTAAAACACTCGGGGGTCACTCCAGGGGAACTGGGCTAACTGGGCTGCGCGAAATAACCACACAAGAGACAGAAATACCTTTTTCTTTGGGGTCGCTGTGACGGCTCCTCTGACCTTAAGGGTCCACAGAAAGAGAGAGAGAGAGAACACATACACACACACACACACACACACACACAAACGCTGACCCCTTTTATTGAGGAGAAGCTATTCAAATGAGGCAAGGGGTCAGGTTTCAGGGGGCTGAGTCTATCTTCATGATGTCTGCTGTCAGTAGGCAGGCCATACCTAAGGGCACAGTAAGATAAGGGGACACACAAAAGGGTGTTTCCATGGAACATTCTATCCTAAACAGGGCAAGGGGTAATATTACAAAGGAACAGGTGAGCATAGCTACACCCATGGGGCTGTAAGAAGGCACACTCCCTTGAACCCAAGAAAGGCAGGGCATCTAGCGGCATTTGCCGCCTGAAGCCTCAATCACCCAGCCAGGGAGTGACTCAGTCACATACAASGTTGGTCTCCCACACACCACAAGTTTGTTGCACCCATTGTAGACTTTTTCTAAAAATGAGATTATGTCGTATTTACTCTTCTGTACCTGGCTTCATCCACATTGGTGCCTAGAGTTTCAGTTATTTAATCTCATCCTATTATGTTAGTATACCACACTCTATTTGTTCAGTCATTCCATTCACTACTGATGACATGCATGCAAGTAGTTTTCAATTTTTCACTATTACAAAAAGTATCACAATAAGCATATGGATATATAACTTTGGGTAAAAGCTCTCATTCTTATGTTTCATGTCCTTAAGGATGCTCCAGTTTTTGAAATGGAAAGCAAGTCTGAAGATATCCAGAGTGCAATCTTTCTCTTAACCTGATACACCAAGATAGCCCTGAACCTGAAGATGAGGTATGTGTGTGTGCATGCATGTCAGGGATAGATGGGCCAACTGCTACCACAGACATAACGATGTGCCAGGCCCTGTGGAAGGTTCTTCCTGGTATGCTCTCCTTTAAGCCCACAATAACTTTATGAGATAGGTATTTATTATCCCAATTTTACAAATAAGGAAGCAGTCATAGAGGGATCTTGCAACATACCCAGTGTCATACAGCAACTAATTAGGAGAGCTGGAAGTAAGAGAGAGAAGAGGAGGATTTCTGAAGACAGGAAACATCTGGGGTATGTGTTTATAGAGAATAGAGAAAGGTTATGGGGAGACATTTACCCAGCAGTTCCCACACCACCAAGAATGCCAAAATAACTTCAGAATTCCTAAATGAATCGAATTCTTATTTATTTATCTGTTTGTTTGTTTATTTATTTATTTAGGGGGGTGCTAGGAGCCACAGCAAAAGTATTATGATACATGGCACCTTTGATTTAGGTTACTGCCAGCTAGCCATTGAGATGATATGATTATGTTAAGCTTTACATTCATATGGAAATTGGACTCCTGCTGTTCACCTCGGCCTGTTACCGGACTCATGTTACGGGAGGGAATTTCTGGGGGAGGTCTGGGCCCCCGGTTGGGGGGGGGGGAGGGACACGTGTGTCGACCGGCTTGTTAGCAGGGCGCACACGGGGACTGGCGGCCTTTTTAAAAATAAAGCTTTGTTTTCCTGTTTCTGTGCCCAGCCGGATTGCGGCAAGGGGGGGCTTATACTAGAGATTGAACCCCAGGACACTCAACCACTGAGCCCCAGCCCCAGCCCTTTTTTTGTATTTTATTTGGAGACAGGGTCTCATTGAGTTGTTTAGTACCTTATTTTTGCTGAGGCTGGCTTTGAACTCGAGATCCTCCTGCCTCAGCCTCCTGAGCCATGAACTGAAAGCTTAACATAATCATTTACTTATACTTTACCTTACTGCTACTTATTAAATTCCTGGCAAGGTCTAAAACCTTTCAAGAGACATCAGTGTTCCCTCTCATACAATTTCAGAGTTACTCATCTATCAGGCTCTTCTGCTGAGTTTCCTGTGCATTTTCTATAAGAACCTGAAGGGAAGAGACCCACGACGAAATCAACTCAAACATACCTGAAGGCCCAGAATTCATCCTGAGACGGTGAAAGAGTCTTGTGTTTCCGAGACCAGGTGTTTCCCCTGCTGTTCCCCATCCACACGTCAAAACCAGCATCAGCAAGAATGAAGCCCAGGCTGTTGTCAGCAAGGTTCGTGATCCAATTACTGGCATCTGCCAGCAAGCCATGCTGCAGAAACACAACTGGTTTGGGACCTGAAAGACATTCATTTTTAAGAAGTGGTAGCCCCAACTTCAAAACAAACACAATACCTTGCCAAACAGGTAATTGCTGAAAGATCCCAAATCAAATAAAGAAATTAAAACACTGAAGTATTAATGTACTCTTATATAACATTAATAAGGATTTAAAAAAATATACAGGGCTGACAAGGTAGCAGCAAAATGGACTATTTCTCGAAAGTCTGGTAACAAAGCACCCTGACTTAATTATCAAAGAAAACTTGAATACATTTTTAGGAACATACAAAATGTTTCTACAGTTTGCTGCAGTAATTTATGTTTCTCACAATGATAGCTAACAAAATAAAGCAAGAGAAAAAAATCACACTGGCAACAATGAGATACCACTGTACACCTACTAGAATGGCCAAGATCTGAAAACCCTGATAATACCAATTGCTGGTACAAATGTGGAGGAACAAGAACTCTCATCATTGCTGGTAGAAATGTAAAATGGTACAACCACATGGGAAATGAGTTTGGCAGTGTATTACAAAAGCTAAATATAACTTACTATACAATTCTTTTTTAAAAAATATTTTTTTAGTTGGATATGGACACAATACCTTCATTTTATTTACTTAATTTTTATGTGGTGCTGAGGATTGAACTGAGTGCCTCACATGTGCTAGGCAAGCTCTCTGCCACTGAGCCACAACCCCAGCCCTTACCTTGCAACTCTGCAGTCATGGTTCTTGGGATTTTACCCAAGGGATCTGAAAACTTATTTCCACCCAAAATTCTGCACGTGGATGTTTACAGTAGCTTTATTCATAGTTGCTAAAATTTGAAAGTCACCAAGATGTCCTTCAGTAAGCAGATGCAAACGTGTTGTATATGGACAGTGAAATCTTAACCATTCCTAAAAGGAAATGAACTCTGTCATCCCAGTGGCTCCAGAGGCTGAGGCCAGGGATCCTGAATTCAAAGCCAGCCTCAGCAACTCAACAAGGTCATAAGCAATTCTCTAAATAAAATACAAAAAAAGGGCTGGGGATGTGGCTCACAAGTGTTGGGGGAGGGAAGTGAGGGATGAATAAGCAGAACAAAGAGAATTGGGGGAACAGTGAAACTCTGAATAATACTATAGTAGTAGATAAATGTCATTATACATTTGTCCAGCCCCTTGGAATGTACAACTCCAAGAGAGCACCTAATGTAAAACTATGGACTTTGGGTAATAACGATGCAACAATATAGGCTCATCAACTGTAACAAATATTCAATTGGGGGATATTCATAAAAAGGCAGGCTAGGCATGTATGGGAGCAGGAGGCAATGGGAAGTCTCTGAATATTGCTGTTTATAATAATTTTATTCATAGTTTCCAAAATTTGGAAGTAACCAAATGTCCTTGGTTATAGCATTCTACTACTTAATTTTGTGGTGAACCTAAAACTTTTCTAAAACTATTAAAAAATCCAATACAAAAATTCTTTAAGTAAAATGAATAAAAGAGTTAAGTAGGAAAAAAATCACATGCATATCAATTCATAAATGTGTGCTCATATGAATTTATTTTCTACTCATTGGTAACTGAGACAGCATAGACTTAGGAGCAAAAGAAACCTGACTTCAACCGGTTTATGGTGCTGAAACCATTCAGTCACTCCTCATACAAACTTTTTCTCATCACCAACCATGTACTAGCACTGGGGACACAGCAGAGAATAAAAGAGGAGGGGGAAAACATCAACCTCACAGAATTGACTGTGAATTTTAGAATCAAACAAACCTGGGTTCAAATCTGTCCTTTCCCACTTCTAATGTGGTACATTCTGCAAGGTATTTAAACATTCCTTGAAACTTAGGTCATTCCTGCTAACTGGAAATGTTAATATGTACCTTGTAGGGAGTAATGAGATGTAGATATTATATGAGAAGTTCTTAGCAAAGTGTCTGACACACAGTAAAGAGTTCAAATACATCAGTTCATATTACTAATCTGCTTAACCAGTCTATGTTCCATAAATAATTAACAGGAATAAATGAGGTCATTGTCAAGCACAGGGACTGACACAGAGGTCAAAATGAACAAATGGGAGCTCCCTTTGCTTCTGCTCATCTTTTATAACAGTGAATCACTGGAGACAAGCTAATTGTCAAGCAGTTGAATAATTAATTGCAATCCACATGGTGCAATCATTAAGCCATCAACAATGACAGGGTGACAGGGACTGTGATGGCACAGAGAAGCTTATAACAACATTAAAAGAAAAAAAAGACAAGATACAAAAAAGATGCAAAATTACAGTCTAACTACAGCTATGCAAAAATTATATAGGTCTATGAGAAGGAGTTTAAAATATCAAGGAAAAATAGGAAGGATGATTCGTAAGGATGACAAGACTGAAAGTGACTTGGCACATTTTTACTTCTGCTCATGTCTTAACATATATAGTGGTTCCTGGGTGTCTACTGCATATTGGATCCAGGACTCCTTGGGCAGATGCCAAAAACTGGGGACATTTAAGTCCCTTATATACAATGGCACAGGGTACACATATAACCTACACATATATCTTCCTACACACTTTAAATTAGCTCTAGATAACTTATAATACCTAATACAATGTAAATATTTTGTAAATAGTTGTTCCGTTGTATTGTTTAGGGAATAATGAAAAATAATTGTGTTAAGCATAGACACAATCTTTGGTTGGCTGGATCCACGGAGGCAAACCCTATAAATATGGAAGGCCAACAGTATTTGGCAATTAATAAATTGTTTTTAAATGACAGTTCCTTTGATATAAGGTGGTCTTGGCAGTCAGCTCCAGGAGGCATTGTTCACATCCATGACAACATCAACGGCATGCCCTGGATCTGTGATAGCACAGGGGTGCTACTCCCCCGTGTAGTTAAAATAATAGGACTCCAAACCAACATTCCAAATGACTCCTAGATTTACTAATCACAAAATTGCAGGCCTCTGCACTCTCAGGTCCACACATCTGACATTCTTCCTGGGTGAAGACAATAGAAAGCAAATAAAACAGTTGCTTTATTTATTTCTTTCCCTTTAAACGTTCATCTTAATGCTACATTAATAAGATGAAGTTTGCTATGAAAGTTCTATCCTCAAAGCACTGTGGTGGACACAGAATCTTATGGGCAGGCTCCCTGCCTTTAGTGAGGAAGACCCAAATCCAGTGTAGGGAAGAGAGAGAGAGAGAGAGAGAGAGAGAGAGAGAGAGACAGAGAGAGAGACAGAGAGAGAGAGAGAGAAGGTATTTTGAAATTACAAACTTCTAAATAAGTGACAATAACAATCACAAAAATTCACTCATCATTAAAGTGAGGAGAGCTGGGGCCAGTGATTTCAACATGGTCGCCTAAGCAGCACCAGAGTGCCTAAGAGAAGCAGCACGGTAGTGATTCATCACAGTGCTGCTCATTTGATGAGGCCGTGACATGGATGGAAGTGAGGAAGGATTACTTGGGCTCTGAAACTGAGTGTGGTCCCACAGGAGGAAGATGACCTGGTGRGTAGGGAAGTTCCTCTCCCCTCTAAGGCAATGACCTTCTCTGCCTTGACACTGAGTCCTGATGGACTCCACTTCCATCTAAAACACTTGTGAAAAAACAGCCTGGCCTGGGGAAGAACCCAGAACAAGGAGGAAGGAGGCCAAAGTTGAGGGTGTTAGCATGAATCAGCCCTTGGTTCTCACCAGCCATGAAACCCTAATAAGACTTCCTTAACTTCTCTGAAGTATGGGTATTCATGGAAAAGCTCAAGAAATAATAGTCCCTGATAATAAAAATACATAAATGAAGTAAACATCATTAGAACACAAGCACAGTGAGGAAAGATAAGATGAAGTGGAGATATAATCATAATTACAGCAAGGGTCAATCATGTGTCATAAGTATTATCTTTATTTGCATTATCTCAGATAAGTCACTTTATATGCATTATCTCACATAAGTCACCTAACAGCTGAGTTGATATGAGTAGAATCATGGACCCCCAAAGATGGCCACATCCTAATTCCCCAAACATGAGAATATATTCCTTTAGAAGGCAAAAGGGATTTTGCAGATATGGTAAGGATCTTGAGATGGGGCTATCTCCGTGTATTATCCAGGTAGGCCCCATGTAACCACAAGGATCCTTATCAAAGGGAGACAGGGCTGGAAGGAAAGAGGGATTGGAAGGTGCAGACTTCAGGCTTTGAAGATRGAGCAAGGGCCTAGGAGCCAAGGAATGCAGGCAGCCTCTGGAAGCTGGAGAAGGCAATGAAAACCCATCTTCCTCTGGAGGCTCCAGAAGAAACAGCACCCTGCCAATACCCTGACCTTTAGAACTGTAGAATAAAACAAACAAACAAACAAAAACAAAAACCTGATACCAGGCACAGTGGCATATGGCTGAAGTCCCAGTTACTCAGGAGGGGATTTCAAGTTCATGACCAGCCTGGCCAAAAAATTAGCAAGAATCTCACAACTTAGGGAGACTCTGTCTCAAACTAAAAAAATAAAAATAAAAAGGGCTGGGAAAGTAGCTCAATGGTAAAGCACACCAGCATTCAATCTCCACACTGGGGGCAGGGGTGGGGTGGGTGGGGTGGGGACTGTTGTTTTAAGCCACACTGTTAGTGGTAATTTGTTAAAGCAGTCACAGAACTCTAATGTAGTCAGCAACTAGCCCTTATCCTCATTTTTTCATATGAGGACTCTGAGGCAGCTAAGGAAGCTGGCCACAGCCCCAGRGTCAGCAATAGGGGAGCCAGGATACCACAGAAAGCAGCATGGCTCCCGTGCTTGACTTGCACTACTCACTGATAGACTCCTTGGGGAAGGTGAGGCTAGGAGGGATATGATTATTTTCAAGATTAATTTCAAGAATCCTTTTAGCCTTGCTTCCATCTACCTTAGAGTTCTTAAGTTCTAACATGCCCATGTATGGGTTTCAGAGAATCCCCAAACTCCTTTATGAAATTGCTTGCAGTATTTTATGGATATGCATTTATTCAGGGTCTACCCAGTGACTCCTAAACCTGGCTGCTCATCAAACTTTCCTGGGGAGCTTGTAAACCATTCAGTTCCCTGAGGTCCATCCCTAAGCTTCTCAAATAAGGCCCAGAATTCTACCTTTCAAGTTGATTTCTTGGGTGTGTCTGAGGAGCTAAGTCTTTGCCTTGCCCCAGGACCATGAGGCTCTCCCCAGCCTGACAGCCAAGGCTTACTGGTTCCCCCACCCCAGAGGGTCAGCCTAGCTCCTTGTTAATTTGAGAGAAGCCTGCATATCTCACAAGAGGGAGCCTTCTTTCTCTGCAATGGCAAGTTCTAGAAAAAAATGGCAACAAGAACTTTGGATAAGGTATACACACATTCCCACTACTTCATACTGAGTGATGCAAAATCAGTATTGTCCCTCATTTTATACTTCCCAGGATGGTCCATAYCACTAAGCAATTCAGAAAAGTTTAATACCCAGCAAGATAGACCCTCGGCTCTGGACCAACCCTAAGTCCCTGGGCCACTCTGACAGGTATAGGATATGCCTAGAAGGCATGAGGCTCTTGATTAGTTCTCCAGCACCACAAAAAAAAGTGGGGGAAGAATAGACTTTCATTAACCCAAAGTAAGGAGCTACTAAGTCACACAGCTAGTTAAGGTAGAAGAACCAAAATTCAAGCCAAGGGCTGGCAGTTTTAATGTACTCATATTAATTAATAAGTTTTAATGTACTCATACTTAACCATGAGGCAATATAGCTTCCCCAGTTTTATTCACCATAATAAACCCATAAATTATTTGGAGCTTAGAGGTAGGGAATCCTTAATCCAAATGTGGCCTAAAGCAATGATACTGTGAAGTCTCAATACTTTGTTCTATCCAATCCCAGGAAGGCTGCAGGAGGGTTCATGCACAGATGAGGCCTTGGGTTGGACCAATTAACAAGCAAATTAGTCAGAAAAGACTTCAGCCTCCACGAGCTCATAGTCTATTAGGGAAGACGAAGATTATAGACTTTATTGATTGCCTATCTAAGTTGAGTTTATTGTCTTAACTAATATGAAAGAAACACAGAGAACTCAGAATATGTAGCCCAAGGGCTTGACCTGGTTTGAGCAGCTGGGGAAATCCTCCTGACAAGTGACATTTAGCACTTGGCCAGGAAGAAGAAGAGGGTTGGGGGAGGGAGGAGCATACAGTCTTCTGTTCTACCCTGACCCTCTGCTATTCCAGCTCCAACCTGGGTAGATGAGACAAACAGTGCAGCTGACACTGAGGTATATTTCCCCATTAGGCAAAAGATTTGAATTCACGTCCCTATCCAATGCACATCAGAGGCCCTGGCGAGCCTGGGCATGAGCTCAACTCTAGTCACCAAGCTCAGGCACTGATTAATGAACTCACATCTGTTCAATGCCCCTGCAGGCAAGGAATTACACACCAGATAATCAAGGCCTACATGTAGTTTATTAGAGAATTTATTTTAAAAAAATGGATTCTTTAGGAGGGAAGAGTTTCTGCAAGGAAGGAAAAAATCCAGAAACCATCCAGCATCCTAAAATAAACAAGCAAAGCAAAACACAGGGTGATGGCCTTCCCTTCCAAAAACTTAACTCATAAGYCATGCTGTGAATTTTCATGGATGACTCAAAAAGCTCAATGGACAACCCCTGAAGAGTCTGCATAGGCCATAGTTGAGAGGCCTGTTCCTGCATGCTGCCRTAGTTATTCCAGGTCCTTAGTGTCCAGAATGCCACTTTACCCACYGGGCCATCAGATACATAACTTCTCAGGGACACATGTGCCATTCTGGTGCTTTCTTTGATTGGCTRATTTCCCAATTATGAAATGAGTAATCCATGTCCCTGTTGCTGTTTAATGTATTTYATTTTTAATGCTCCAATTTAAAATAAACAATGCAGGAGTCTAATATTCCTTAATATTCGGTTGTAGCTGAATATCCAACCAGCATTTACTTGTTTTAGCCAAATTAAATACATATTATGACTATCATGGGATCAACTTGCTCAATACTGATTACACAAGGCTTCATTCTCAAATTAAGGAACTCTGAATTTGTAGTCAGACTGGAAGGCAGATTACCCTTTGACCTCAGACAAATCTCTTTTGCCCTTTGAGCCTGGCTGTCTCACTCTAAAAAGTGAGGTTGCTGTCCTAGAACACAAAGGTYTAGATATGTTCAGATCTACCAGGGGAGTGTGTTAAAACCAGAAGCTCTCTAAATCAGAGCACCCAAGCAGAAACCTGAGATTTTTTTAGTCCTATGACTTTCTAAAATAGGCTGAGCAGATGGAAAATAGAATCACTTCCCCATAAATGATTAATTTCTGAATTTCAGTTCCTTTAAGGAATTAGCAAATAGAAAATAGTGGAAAACAACACACAAATACTCCAAGTAGCCAACCAAGGACCACCACCACATARGATGGAGGTGAAAGTTACAGATAATAGCCAGGGAGAATATTAAGAAAGGTGTGTGTCTTCACCCATTAGATCCCTGAAGATTGTTGCTTAGCAAAACACATAATTATAGTTGGGCTTTAAGTAACTTTATCCTATAAAGCCACGTAAGATAGATGAGAACAGGGTGAGGATATGCACACTTACCAGAGGAGTCCACTATAACAGAATTGAAAGATGTTCACCATTTAGCTGAAAACTCATGTGCCACAAGAAATGGGGTCCCAAAAAATGAATAATGTTTTAACATATCTTGTAATTACTTGTAAATAGCACAGATGTATAGCATTATTCTGTGTATATTAAAAGCATTCATTTCTTAAATCATACTAAATTTCCACATTCCCATTTTTGAAATTCTTTCTTTGCTTTAATATGTGGGGACTTGAAAATGGAAGTCACTTGGGCCTCTCTTGGCTTCTGAGCTTATTTAGGGGTGCCCAGTTAAATGGCAACAAGAACTTAAGGTGTGGTCAGGGAAAGCAAGAAAGTGATGAACTGATGGGATGTAGCATGGGTGGCTCAGAGAGGACCTGACAGCTGCTTGAAGATGGTCATGGAGAATGATTCTGCAGTTTCCAATCTAGGTCTCTGGAAGGGTAATGGGTAACAGGAAGTCAGAAGTCACATGCAATAGAAGAGTTCTGTTTGGGGTCTAAGACTTATTTATTYATTTATTTAGTCTATTTTGCTTTTTAATGAACCAAAAAAACAACACTAGAAACACTGCTCTTGAATAGACATGAAAGACACTAAGAGCCTCTGCCCCRTGTTTTGTCTGCCCTACGCAGTTCTTAGGAAGATCAACATTCCTTTAGAGAACTGAGTTCTTCGTCACAGATTTCCTTGAAAAGTTCCTTTTGAGTTTAGCTCACAGCAAGCGTGATATCCATGTCAGTGATCCTTTGCTRGGGATGGGGGACCTCATCAGAAAAGAGAAAGGAGATGGGGATCTAATGCTATGGCCACACTTARCTTAGAGCACTTTCGGCTTATGTTCCCTATTCTGAAGACCAAAAATACCCACTTCCCCATCTAYCAACACCCCTACCCCCACARAAAAAAAAAAAAGAGTAAAAAAATATAATCCAGAGAACCAGAGGGTGATAACAATTAAATAGGAACTGTGAGATCATCCCTGTCAATCAACTGCTGTTACAGAGGAGGTGAAGCACATGAGCAGTCAGGGGCAGACCCGACTCTGGCACTAAGATCACCTGACACTTCTTCCTTCCTTCCTATCAAGACTCATGTTTGCTTTATTTGTTTTCCAGGGCACCTCGCCTTCATCTGCAAGTGTGATGCATACACCTTGGGCAGAGAGTCCTGCGTGGATGGAAAGAAAAGCCAGGAGGTGGACACAGAAAGACAAGAGGAAATACATTCTCTCAGTGTGTTTGACTGAAGTTTCTACACTTTTTAACAATGACTTACGTTATATTTGTCAGATAATTTTAAGAGGGAAAAAATCCATATATATTTTCTTTATATGGGATGTGAATGTTAGTATAGAGGATTGTTCTTTAAAAGGAAATAAAAAAGGGATGAAAACCAAGATCATATGCTCACTCTGGCATAAAATTTATGCTTTGTGTGTTCCGAGCAGAGGAAAATGAGAAGCCCCCACTGCAGTTCATCACTCGTTCTTTACCACATTTATAAAAAGAAAGCTTAATACCCTGTAGCAACAAACCCTAAAAATTTTTGAGAGTAAGAAACTGAATTTCAAAAAGAACATTACATTTATTCACAATCACTGAAGCATTATTAAATACCTTATTCTAGCTAGAATTTATGGGAGGAAAAAAATAGGTAAATAATATTAGATTAAGAATAAATGAAGCACATAGAGACACAAAGCTCATGTTAACACAAAAGGCTTTTAAGTTTATTTTAACAATTTGGGAAGAAAATGAGGTAAAGCATGTGCCTCCCCACATAAAACTTCTGTCAAAGAAGAGAKAGTTACCCAATTATCTTAATCTAAACCCTCATTTCTAAAGAAAATTTTTATAAACAGAAAATGTTAAAGAGATTTCAGAAACATCCATAAAAAATTAAGAAATGAGGAATGAGATAGGAGGGAGGTATTTCACTGTGTGTCTTTTTATTCTCTTTGATTTTTGAACTATGTGAATTCATTCTACTTAATACTCAAAATATTTCATTAAATAAGATGCTTCCTYATAAGACAAAGAAAGGAGACATTTCATTATATCCTCAAAGGACTTTGATCTGTGAACCTTTAAGCAAAATATGAAATTAGTTGAGTCAWCCTTACTTCTTTAAAAATCATTTTTTATGCCTTCAATAAATATGATACATTTAATACTTTGGCCTAAAACTCACCCAGTTAAATCTGAACTTGGTTACTGACACTAAAGCCAAATTCCAGCAATGTTATTACTTTTAAGAGCTCTTCTATCTCGCTTCAGAAAACACCCATACCTTTGTCAAAATGATTCTTCCTTCCATGAGGGATTCGGTAAAGGCACAGAATATACCCATCTTCTGTCTCAACTAGGTGTTCCTCAGCAGGGAATCCCCTGTAAGTGATGATTTCACTCTGGTAAGAGAAAGGACAAAGGGCATTCTATGGACAGAATCTGAGGCAATATCCCACATTAACAGGCAAAGGAGAAGACAATACATCAACGACATATCCCAGGCTTTATTTAAGAAATCAATTGTTACCCACATATGAGTCTGCTCACTCTAAAGTCAAAATTCCATCATGAGAGTAAATTCTCATGGCCACAGGTATTGGGCTCAGCTTCAGTTTCATCATTCTAGCATGTTCTACACAAAGCTATCTAAATTTTACCATAGCTTTGGGCCTCATTGTTTCCATCCTGATTACAAGGTACAGATAAATACTCTTTGCCTTTCTTTTATAAATACACCAGCTAACATCTCCTTGTTTTAAGAGTTCTAATCCTAGGAAATAAAGCATAAAACAATTAATCCAATTTTATCAATGAACTAAAAAAATTACACTAGAGTATCAAGGTGCAGTAGGGGGAAAAAAACTTTAAAAACAAGGAATTTTTAACTAAAATTTTTTTTAACTAAAATTATGATCAAATTCACTTTTCCATAAGGAAAGTTGCAAAGGGCACAGTAGTTTAATGGAATATAGATGATTAACAGATTAATGTAATAAAAAGTACTTATTATCCTCTCTGCCATAAGTACTTGGAAGAATTTAATTTTATCATTCTTATGAAAAGGAATTTGTTAAAAGAAAGGGAAGTAAAAGAAAAGTATTGGGATAAGAACTTAACTTAACCTTGAGACCCTATTATTATAGGGCCATACTCTCTTGGTTACTATGAATTTTGCTCAGTCTCTAGGGTTACCTGATTCTCCAGTTGGATCACTGCATTTTCTATATTAAAGTTGCTGTTTACTTTAGCTTGTATTTTTCCAATATTTTATGCCAAAATGAGGCTTTTCCAGATTTGATGGTTTCTTAAGATTAAAAACTTTGAAATGCATTAAATAATCAAAGGATTATTTTTGCTTATTTCTTCTAATAAATTTTTTTCAGATACTTTGACTTTTGTATTTAAGTATGTTCCCTGAACATTCTATACAATGATCTTTTTTTCAATATATTCTAAAACTAGCACTCAGAAATTATGTTCTTGCAATAGGTGCTGTGAAACTTCCAACAGTCATTAGGTTCATTAACTAAATATCACCTGTTGGAAACAGTCTAGCAAACAGAATCTAAGATTCAGAGAAAAATATAATGAGTTATAAAGACATTACAGTTGTGGTCTCATGTCGTTGTGTTCTCATAACTGGATTTAAGGAAATAACAGTCACCATAAGTCGCATTTAAAAAGTATGTGACTTTGAGAAACTTACTATATTCATGTTTGCTTCAGGATCCACAGCTGCCACCTTCCCTCTGGGCCCCTCGGAATGCAGGATCCCAAGGACGAAACAGGCCACCAACCACAAAAACTGCATTTTCACTCTGTATTTTTAAAAAATTAATTGTTACTTGCCCCAATTTTACTACACAAAAATGCACTGGTAGATCAAGGTTCCAATAGAACATTCTGAACCAGGTTTAGGGCAAGTAAAAGATAAATATGAGGCAAATGACTGTAGCTGTATCTGGAAGGAGAAAGGGCGACATCTTTTTAACAAAAAACAAAAACAAAAACACAGGGCTCAGTGGTGGAGCACTTGCCTGGCGCGTGTGGTGTGCTGGGTTTGATTCTCAGCACCGMAAATAAATAAAAAATAAAAATAAAGATCYACTGACAACTAAAAAATATATTTAAAAAAACAAATAGACAACAACAACAAAAAACCCTTCCAGCATGTCATCCCCAGATAACATGTGGCCTTTGGAACCCAGCACWGTCACTTGCCTCCTCACCACAAAGTTAAATTGTTCCTAGAGAGAGAGACAGCAGGAGGCAGAACTTAGAAGCAGACAGGATGAGAAAAAGGAGTGCCATGAAAATTCTGGAAACTATTAATTTTCCACCTTTTTCTGTCTGTGATTTAAATGTTTATAAGTTTGGTCACCATTAGCTCTTGCCTCCCATTATCTATTCACTTCTGTTCTTGCCCCCAAATTATGTTGGGATTCAAATTTGTCATTCAAGAGAGAAAAGGTGAAAACGAAAGACAAGAGAGTCTTCAGAGAACAAAGGAGTGAGCCAGCTCCTCTTTTTCCTGAAACTCTGCAACCATCAACAAAGCTCATCCTAGTTTCTGACTCAAAATGACAGCATAGCAAAGACTAGGGGGTGGTAAAGGTGAAGGGATTGATTCTCTTAAGGATTCCCCAATGGTTAGAGGAAATGTTGGGACTTGGCCCAGGCTTCCTACATTTTTTAAAAATAAATACAATCACTTACAAAGACCTACACGCATATGCCCATACAAAAACTTGTACATAAATGTTTACAGCAGCTTTGTGTGTTAGTAGCCCCAAACTAGAAAAACATAAATGTTCCAAATGGATAAACAAATTATGGAATATGAATACTACTTAACAATATAAAGGAATAAATACACAAAAATGTGGCCAAAATAATTATGCTATATAAAAAAGACCCCCAAAAAGAAAGAGAAAGACAGAGAGAAAACAAATATTGTTTGATACCATATATATAAATTTTGGAAAATAAAATCTAATCTGTACTGAAAGAAAGCAGACCAATACCTGGGGAGAACAGGGGCAGGAGGGAGGGATTTTTACCAAGAGAGTACACAAGGAACATTTTAGATCCCATTTATTGATGAGATCACAGGTAAATGCCTTTGTGAAAACTAAAAACTCTACAATTTAAATATGCCCTGCTATTGTGTGTCAATAATACCTCAAAAGACTTGTGTTTAAATCAAATACTCCACAAGTCTTAAGAAATTGGTTCTTAGCAGATTGCAAAAGTGAATTGATTCCCTTCTGCTGATGCAATTCCTCCTAGAGTTATTTTTCTGAGCAATAGGGAACCATGAAATTCTAGGAAGGAATGTTACATCTTGAGTCTACATTGACACACAAGCCCACTGCTTTTAATTACAAGTGTATCTTTCTTTATGCAGTTAGGAAGGGCTGTTAATCCCGGGGCTACCTTTTATCATAAATATGACCTCCCCATTCCATTACAACTACACAATAAGGAGTAGAATGAAGAGAAGAAAAAAAAAAAAAGTATTACCAGAATTTAAAATAAAGAAGATTTCTGGCAGCAGCTGCTGTCCACATAGCATCTTTTCTAAAGAATCTGGACCAGCAGACCAGGGGACATTCCATACGGTGACAGCTGAAGTTTATTCCAATGCAGTGTCTCCCAGTTACTTTTCTTCCCACCACAACACTTAATTTCTCAACATTCTAAATGAGCAATTATAATCAAGGAATTGATTGAGTTCAAAGAGGAAAAAAATAAAAAACCCTCTAGGTTGAATTCAGGGTGCTACTCTGGGCTCCTAGCACCTTTATCTCAGTTCCTTTTACTTTGTAATAATCAGTTAATTGCCCACTAGCCTGCCTTCATTTCACCCCAGGCAAGAGGGCAGAGATTAAAGTTGATTTATCTTTGTATCCCCAGGACACAAGCCAAATGTCAAGCACATATTTTATGCACAATATAGGTTTTGAATGATGGCATGTGGCGGCGGTCCAACGTTCACGGCAAAAGAAAAGACCCCAATACAACTTGTCATTTACTTCTCTAGTAAGAGCAGCAACACAATAACTGCTAAGCTGTTGCAGTGTGTCAGACCTTAAACAGAGCTTTGGCTGCCTCGCCAGTTAACAACCCCATAGCAGTACCCTTAAGTCCACTTTTCAGGAAACTTCGGGTCACACCGGCATAGGAAACAAAGTGCCTGGTCAAACAGCAGTATCGCCGGAATTTTAACCAGGACTGATGCTCAAGTCTGCTTTTGACCACTCAATTGGCTAACAAATCGAGAGCCATAGGGCAGGCTACCTGGGGGAGATAAGGGGAGGGAAGGAGTGCTGGCCACGAGGCATTTCAGCTGTCTCTGCAGAATAGGGGACCTGGGCAAATTCTCTGACCGGAGACCCCGGCCTGTGCAGGAAATTGGAGCGAGCCCAAGGACCAGTGAGCCACTCCGGAAAGCCCCTAATTCAGAGTGCGGGGGGGGGGGTGCCTCTGGTCACCGGCCGCAGGAAAGGAACCCGCAGACATCTCAGGTTAAGATGCACCGAGAGCCGAACAGGGAGACCCAGGCGCGCGGGGACACAGTACCCGGGGCCGTTGAACCCCGTCTCCAGGCCCGTGGACGCAGGCAGCCGCCAACCCCCACGTGGACCCGCAATCACACACACGCGCACAGCTGGGGTCGGCACTCACCCGGTGCTGTCGTCCCGGGCCGCTGTTCCCGGTCGCAGTGTCTCCTGGCAGGCGCCGGGGACGGGGCGGCCCTGGTGGGAAGGCGGGTACCCGCTCAGGCTATTAGCACAGCCAACCAGAGCCGCCAGTCACCGGGAAGTGCCCCGGCGACTCCGCCCTGGCCCTGGCGGGTCGCTTCCGAGCGGCCGAGGAGCCYGGCCCCAGAGGAGCATGCGCGTTGGGAGGTTGAGCAGAAGGGGCGGCCGCGTGTGGGTCGCCAGGCCCCACCGCATCCCCAGCTCTMCCCGCGGGCTGTGCCAAAGTTCCCACCTATATCTTAATAGGAAGAAACACCATGAATAAATAACTATAATGTATGAGGTGGTGGTAAGTGCCATGAAGAATAATAAAATAAGGTAAACAGATGATATTTTTTTTAAAAAAAAGATGCCATATACAGTAATAAGGGACTCTGATTAAGTGACATCGGAGAACAAATACCGGAAAGAATATGTTGGGAGCCACGTGATGATGGGGACAGAACACTCTGGGATGGAGTACATAAACTCTATAAATAAAAACAAATCATACACTCCACATTAGCTCAGATTACCAAGTAGTCTTTCTGTACATCTTATTTTTATTATTATTAAAGATTTTTTAAAAGAGGAAGAAAATGATGTGCACATATTGTGGTTTAGACAAGGGTGGTGATGGCAGTGGAGGTGAAGAGAAATGCTCAACTCTAGTATGTTCATAAAGTCAAGCCAACAGGATTGCTAGTGGATTGGATAGCAATTGGTATGAGAAAAAGAAAAGTGCCAAAGATGACTCTACTCCAATTAGTAAGATAGGGTGCCATAAATTAAAATGGACAAAGTGCAAGAAGAGCAGCTTGAGAATGAATTCAAGAGTTTGTTTCAGATGTGTTGATTTTGAGATGCCTGTTAGAGAACTCTACCAGCTGAAGCCAAAGCAGAAAAAGAAATCACTCGAGGCTTTCCAAGCACAGGAAATGGTTACATAGGTAATGGAATGGCTGGGAAGCCAGAGTTTGGGCAGGCATTGCAAAGATTATTAGCAACAGTGGAAGGAGATATTGTCATTAGAAACCAAAGGTTGAGCTGCTGCCTCTGCCAGATGCATTACTCAAGGACAAAAGAGGGAAGCCAGAAATACCATGCTTTCCTTTCCTTCTACCCACCAATCTCCCACTAGTCTTTCCTAGAGAGCAAATACAGCTTAAAGCTAACTGCTGCAAGAGTGTAAGAAGTGCAGCCAGGGGCTGGGATTGTGGTTTAGTGGCAGTGCACTTGCCTGACAGATGTGAGGCACTGAGTTCAATTCTCAGCACCACATATAGTAAATAAATACATATGAACAACTAAAAAGAAAAAAAATCTTGCTCTGTGATATTGAGCAAGGCTGTTGAAGAAGAAGAAGAAAGAGGAGGAGAAGGAGGGGAGGAGGAGGAGGAGAAGGAGGAGGAGGACCAGTGAGGGTCAGACCCTTTCACCTTCAGAGACACAGAATAGAGCAGGGGAAGGAGAGAGAATGAGTCTGAGAAAAAAAAAGGCAAAGATTGTAAATAAGTCAGGATGGCGCCTGGCATTTTGCCAGAGGGAGTGGTTTGTGAAGTAATGCCAGTGAGCTATTAAGTGTGGAGATTCCTTATTGGTTGACTGCTGTATCTAGTTTATGTTAATTAAGATAAGCTGTGTGGAATGTATATATACCCCTCCTGTCCTACAATAAACGGCTCCCACTCCTGCTGTRTCAATGTACACAAGTTGTTCGTCACACCCCCACCCCCACACCCCCCACCCCACCACCCTACCCCCCCCCGTTATTTTGCTGCAGCTGGACTGCAGCAGAAGATCAGAAAACATTCACATGGAGATGGTAAGTAGACACCAGGATATACAAGTTAGCATTCAAAGTCAAGTTCCAGTCAAGAGATATAATTTGGGAATATTCAGTTTAGAGACAAAATTTTAGGCCATGAGCTTAGATGAGTGCCCCTGTAAAATAAGTCTAAATAGAAAAAGATGTACAGAGAAATTCAACAGAAGACAATTGGAGAACTGAATGTCATACCTGACACTAAGCAGAAAAAAAATTTTTTTTCAAGGAAGAAAATAATCAGCCCAGGGAATTGTCAATGATAGCTTGAGTGAGTGAGCACTGAGAAATGAACATCAGATTAGCAACATTCCAAGTGTCAGACACTGCACTAAGCCCTTTACAAGGAGCGTCTCACTGAATCCTCAACAAGAGCTCTATAGCCCCATTTTACAGGTGAGGGAAAGAACCATTCACTTGAAAGGTGAATTTTTCTTGGGGGGTAAATCCCCAAGGAATCAGCCAGAATGGGAAAACCTTTTAACATACAAAGCCATTGACTCAGTATTGGAGCAAAATTTGTACTAGGTTAAAACAATTTGAAAATAAAAGTACTAGAATAAACCTCCATTTGATTTTCACCAAGATAATAAATGATTCTGAAACAATTAGATAGCCATGTGCAAAACCTCATATATTATAGAAAAGTCAACTCAAAATGGACCACACACATATATTTGAGAGCTAAAACTGTACCCCTTCCAGGAAAAAGAAAATAAAGAAATACATAGGGAATTTTGATTTTGTCCACAATTTCTTAAATACAACACAAAAGCACAACCATAAAAGAAAAAAAAAATCTTCAAAATACAAAAATTGTACTTCAAAGGATACTTTATAGCTACAAGATACCACTTTCTACCCACTAACTTGGCAATAATAAAAAAGATACATAATAGCAAGAGTTGGTAACGATGAGTGGATATTTGAACCCTCACTGCTTATGGGAATGTAAAATGATGTGGCTATTTTGAGAAATAGCCTGGCAGCTCCTTAAAATGTTAAACAGAGAGCTGCTATATGATCCAGAAATTCCACTGAGAAATGAAACATTATGTGCACATAAAAACTTGTAAAAATATTCATGGGGGTATAACTCATAATAAAAAAGTCAAAACAACCTTATACCCATCAACTGAAGAATGGGTGGATAAGCTGTGATGTGTCAGTACAATGGAATATTATTCTGTAATTTTAAAAAATGAAGTCTGATGCAAGCTACATGGATGAACCTTGAAAACAGCATGCTGAATAAAAAAAAAAAAAAAATCCAGACATGAAAGGCTACTACACCATTTATATGAAATGTCCAGGCCAGCAAATCTGTATACATGGAAAGTAGATTAGTAGTTGCCTAGGGATGGTGGAAGCAGGGGCAGAAAGTGGGGTGATGATTGATAGCTGGGTATGATGGTGCATGCCTGTAATCCCAGAGGCTTGGGAGGCTGAGACAGTAGAATCACAAGTTCAAAGCCAGCTTCAGCATCTTAGTGAAGCTTTAAGTAACTCAGTGAGACCCTGTCTCTAAATAAAATACAAAAAAGGGCTGGGGATGTGGCTCAGTGGTTAAGTGGCCCTGGATTCGATCCCCAATACCAAAAAAATAAAAAATAAAAAAGGTTGACAGCTAGAGGATGGGGGGGCGTTCTTTTGGGGGGGAATGAAATGTTCTAAAATTAATTGTGCCAATGGTTGTACAACTCTGTAAATTACACTGAATTGTTCACTTTTAATGAGTGATCTGTATGGTATGTGGATTATATCTCAACATGCTGTTTTTTAAAAAAACTTATAACATGATAATATGTACTCCTTACCATTTAATAGGACTTAAAGCTCAATCAAAAATGGTCAAGGGCTGGTCTTCGTGGTGCACACCTGTAATCCCAGCTACTCAGGAAGTTGAGGCAGGAGGATCACAAGTTTGATGCCAGCCTGGGCAACTTAATGAGTCCCTGTCCCAAAATAAAATTTAAAAAGGATAGGGGATGGAGTTAAAAAAAAAAAAAAAGAAACAACTGAGCACTTTACCAAAGAAGATACTGAAGATAATATTTATGAATAACAAACATGTGGAAACATGCTCAACATTGTTAATCATCAGGAAAGGCACCCTATCTCTAGGGGTTCAATAATTTTAGTGACTATCCTGCCTCCCAGGAAGCAATTTAAAGGTTTGCTTCCTCCTTCCTTCCTTCCTTCTTTCTTGCATTCCTTCCTTCCTTTTCTTTCCTTTTCTTTTCTTTCTTTTCCTTTCCTTTTTAAACTGTAGTAAATCAAAGGGTTGTGGACATACAATTGAAACTACCCAGTAAAACAAGTCACAGAGAGAAGGGAAGATGAATGGATGGAGTTTTGGCAGCCAGGATGCTCTAGGCTTTGACCTGTGAAGGAAGAAGCAAGGGCTACTTCTATTCCAAGTGTTCCAGTTAGTCTTGTCATGAAAAGCAATGGTGGCTGGCAGTGGTAACCCCTAGCACTGGAAGAGTTCTAGAAATTATTGAAATAAAGAAACACACATTAATTTGGAGCAATAATTGCCCTTCATTCTCATTGGCAATGTTTGTGGACACCCACTAAAAACCTAGCCTTGAGCTGATGAGTGAGGCCAAGGCTTCAGTGCCCTCCCATGCAAATGTAACTGGGCATGATGCCCAACCCATAAATCATACCCAAAGGCCTTCAGCTGTGTGTCATCTACCAACATAGCAGGGCCATCAGAGTGTTCTTGAAATGTGAATCAGTGTCTAACAGCTAAAAATCAGAAGCATACAAATAAAAATATGTAATTCTGACTGCTCTTGAAAAACCTAAATGGCAACTGGGCCCTCGCTGCATTCGAATGACAACAATGTGCTGAGGAAAAGTCTCTTCAACAAGAGCTCTGGTGCTGTTTGAAGTGCCAACCCCTCCCACTCATTTCTGCCACATGCCAGGGGCCTGCACTTCAGCAGAACGTCATCCTACCTCTAAGAAGAGCCTAGACTGGCAAGGTTTGGATGCAGGCATGGTGTACAACCGCCAAAGCTCATGTTGAAATTTAATCACCACAACAATGTCACCTTAAAGAGGTGATTAGTACACACCATTGTACCAATTTTCCATGAAAGCTCTGCTTGTGAATCTATTCGTGCCTATAACACCAGAGTGGGTTAGGTGTTGCTGGAATGGGTTCCTCTGCCTTGTGTGCCTGCTTGTCCCTCTGCCACACAATAATGCTGCAGGAATATTCTTCCCAAGTGCCAATGCC